TCCTCACAAAAAAAAAGGTCCCAATAAACTGTTCGGGCAGACAATGAAATGTGCTTCTGGAGAGGAGTAAGAGAAAATGTGACGGGTGAGACAATCCAACCCAAAACATTGCACAATACTTTTAAGTAAATTTACAATTTTAATTTTTTTTAGAATAACAATAATATTTGTTCATTATTTGCAACAGGAATTGCGATGCTGAGATGTATTTAAAGAGTCATTCAAGACTTAACATTAGAGACATAAGGGATCTTTACAGTTGATTTGAAACTGCATGCATACAAAAAGGCAAAATGATTCCGCTGCAAACTATTCAATACGGGTATCATCAGGAATGTTACAATAATGTTAAGAGACATTACTGTCTAGGTTGTTTTGTACAATAAAGCAATTAAATACATTGTTTGGCTCATCAGGCAAGGATACTGTACAATGGTGTCGGCTAAAGTAGAAGTTTATACACAAACTGTGTGTTTGTGTGTGCACTCCTGAGCCTTTCCTTTGATTGAAGTTTTGCACTCAAGTAACAGATTGAATAAACCTTTTTTTGGGTGATGTATTTTATGTTAATAAATGTGAAAATATCAACCATGTAAATGAATTAACTAAACTACAACAATAGCAGTGCTAATTATTTTGTTGTATTTAAATAAAATGTAAAGTGTTACTTCTTCTGACAAACCAGTCAAGAGTGCTTGCACAAACAAATTAAGATATAAATGTATTAAAAGGATTACTATAGACAAATGTCATAGAAAAAATACAATACTATCAAATTCCAACTTCTAAACATAATTCCATTACATTTTATTTTATTTGTATCACCCCAAAAACAAATCACAAATTTGCCTCAGAGGGCTATTCAATCTCTTCTCACCTTTATCTCTCACGTCGCCACAGAAACCCCCCCCCCCCCCCCCAAAATAACTTGTAACTGGGGGAAAAAAAGGAAAAAACTTAGGGAGCGAAGCGGAGGAGGGTTTCCTCTCCCGGGGTTCAATAGATCAATAGATCACGTGTGTACAGAATGAACAACATAAAAGACGATAACATGTTCAATGAATGTGACATAAATGACTCAATGAGAGTAATGAAAAGAAAAATAATTGCAATAACAAAACCATCATTGGATTTAATAGACAAATTTGAATAAAAGCATTAACGGTATCAGCAATGGTAATGGTAAAGTGTCTAATAACAATAATCATTGTGGAAGTAGGCTTCAGCGGGGCCACGGCAGGGGAAGGACCAGGGTCCAGATATAACCACGATCCATGGAAACCTGCTGGGCCAGAGAGCTCAAACACTGCAGGGAAGAAGCAAGGTCAATAATGTGTGTTTATGTAATTGTAATTGTAATGTGATTGTAGAAATAGTACTAGAAGCAGTACGTGTCAGATAAGATAATAGTTACGGCAGTAATGTGATATTTTTTCTTATTTTTTGTTAAAACACATGTTGCCGCATTCTGCATCAACTGGAGATATTTGAGAGACTTAATTAAAGCAGCCTGCTCATAACAAATGTTGAAATCTAGTCTCAATGTAACATAGCTAAACGTTGTGCATCACTTTGAGACAGGATGTGCCAGATATGTTTATATGTTACCTAGATTAAAAATGCTTTCCTTGAAATATGTTTCATCTGGCAGCAAAAGGACACATCCTGATAACCCGAGATCCTCCCCTCTGCTCAGTGCAATTCCCCCTGGATACAAAGAACAATTACAACATCTGTTAAATATGCCATAAATCTAAATTGTATATTAAATCATGAAGCTATTACTGAATAGCACACACCATATAGATAATATTTAGCTAGTCTTGGTGTAGACTGGGACAGAACACAAAAGTAGGAACACATATATAATGAAAGAAATATTTCGTATGATTAAAAACCATAGAAGTTGAAAACTGAGCGGGCCGATGCAGGTTATCCGCATTCCCTGATCGGACCCACTGCACACACGGTGCCCATCGGGTGAAAGGTCAAGCAGCGTGTGTACAGCGGACCAGTTCACAAAGTCCTCCTCGCACTTGATCTTTAAACGACCGCCTGGACCCTCCTGAATAAAGTGAACTATAAGCCCAGGTGGTGTGAATATTACGTCACAGAGGACACCGAGGGGCCTGGAAGGGTGACGGCGAGTAAGTTCGGCTAACTGCAACAACTCTTTATGGTTAGCTAGCAGTTTCACTGCTCACTTTAAATACTTAAGGCCATTCAGTAGCATTTCTGAACTACTATTTTGGCATACACATTTTCCCGTGTTGTATTTTACTTTTACAGTGTCTTTGAATTAATACGGGGTTCCGGAATGGAGGAAATATGCTAACGTTAAGTTAGGTCACTTCGTGTAAGCTAGCTAGCTTGATATAGCCGTAGCTTAGCCCAAGCACTGCTAACGTAAAAAGTAACAGTCGTTATTCTTTTTCGGTGACATTGTGGTAATATTGATATTCAACATGATTGTGTGATATAAGGTTAACATTAAGCTTGGTTACTGGGAGTTTAATATAGCGTTAGCTTATTGGTAAAAACGGCAGCGGCTGCCCAATATCGTACTGGTTAAAGCCGACTAATGTTACGTTAACTCAACGTTGATAGAATGTAACGTTAGCTATGTATTTTTATTATTGGGTGGTAACAATAATTATAATTTATAATGTAAAGCAGTGCAACTAAGGGCTTTCCATTCACTCCATAACCTGAAGGATATGAGTAAAAAAAGATTGCACTAACGTTAGACCTAAAACAACAAAAACCATTGCATTTTGATGAGTTCAGGTACTTATTGGTAACACCTATGCCTTCGAGGTGCCACTATACATTTTACTTAATTATTCTCAATTTTCTAATGAAATTAAAACATTTGCAAAAGTCTGTAACATGGCTTTCTTATTGTAGCAGCATAACTAGAAGTCTCCTGTTGCCCCTCCACTGCTACAGTTTGATTTTAAAATTGAAATAACCCTGCCTGTTCACTTGTGTGTATATGTGTGTGGCTTCCATCAAGAGGTGAAGGATCCTCTATACCCAAACAGTGATAGATGGTGTTTTTCCGATCCTTCTTCACATGTGGATCTCCTACTGCCTTGTTTTCATGCCCTGCACCACCCTGGTCACCCCCACACTGAGCTCCGTGGACCTGGTCTCCGCGGCAACCGCCAGTAACGTTGTGGGAGCAGCTTATTGCGGTCATCCAGCCTACCAAGTGGTACCAGGTGGTTGGAAGCATGCTGTGCAGCCACTTTGGATGCCAGGGGAGACACCAGATGACATCCTGGATGTACACTTTCTAAAATTAGAGAATTGGGCTTTCTGGATTATTGTGAAATTTACTTAATAAAAGTATAATTTAGAACTGCTGCACTAGTTGTTATCAATGTACTGATGTAAAACCTTTCTTTTTTAAATGTTGTAGCTGATCTAACTGGAGCTTACTCAAAATAACTGCTACAGAGCACCAGTACTACTTAACACCGAAATAGTCACTTTTATTAAAATTACTCAACAATTCAGAGATAATTGTTTTTTTGCTTTCGAAGACCATCTATCAAGCAAACTAGTCAAACAAAGAATGACTCCAGTTTTTAAAATACTTTGAACATTTATGGCTTTTCTGGTTGTGTATAATTGTAAATATTGTGGACTGTTGAACAAAACTACTACTTTAACAACTTTGGGAACTTCTGATGGTCATTTATCAAGCACTTAATCTAAGAAAAGGATTTTTTGTTGCAGTCCTTTCTTTAATACAGCGCTGTTGTGCCAATTTTATTTGGACGAGTTGAACTGGAAAATATGTTTTTTTTAAATTTAATTTAAATTTAATTTTTAAAATATACTTAATGTGTTTGTTTCACTTCGCCAGCAGCATTTTGAATCTGGTTAGATAAAATACCAAAACTAAAATACAACAGAATTTCCCCAAGGATGCATTCAAAGTCTTCACTTCCTGTCCTTTTCATGTTCGGACAAGAAGACGAGCCCAGCTGGATCCACTTCATCTGTCTGTCCACTGAAAAATCACAGATTGGTCGCTGTTTTCACCAAGCTATATTGTCTCATATGAGGCGGTGTTTTGCTTTCTTTGCTGTGTGTGTGTGTTTGTGTTAAGCACACTCTCCTTGGTGGTGCCGGGGTGTTTGGCGGGATAAATATAGCCGCGTTGGTGTAAAGCTGTTTTTCTCCTCGGCTTTTGTAGCTTTAATCAAAAGCAATCTGGAGGAGGGAGGAGTGGGGGGGGGGACGTAAGCGAGATGAGGGGAAGGGGAGCGGAAGGGGTGGCCAATGCCAGAGTGTTTTATTTGAGCTCTCTCTTCTAAAGAGTCATCAGGGAGTGTTCAGGAGTAATGAGAACCCTGGTGGCTGGAAGAGGGGCACCGGCTCTAAGCTCCTCGGCCCCATCCTCCATCCTCTCTTTTATTTCCCGCTCAGTCCCTGACCACCAAGGCTGTACACCTTTTTTTTTTTTTGTAAATCTCAGAAATTGGACTCTCGACCGCAGCGTGCAAACACAGCCAACGTATAGTCGGTGTGCATATGTGTGACGGAACAAATAGAGAGCAAGAAGACGAAAGATATTGCTTTGGCTAGCACGTTGAATATCCTCCCGTTATCCAGTTGGCTTTGTTTGCTTCCATTTGGAGGCCAGACGCAGCTCACAGTGGAAGCCAAGCTGCTCCCTGGTATAACTGCCACCATGGTTATCCTCAAAAAAAAATCTTTCAGAAAACCTTTTTGTTTTTTCCTGGACCGCTCATTGGCAACCGTGCAGCTCTTTAGAAGTGCAAAGTTCCATTTTCTGTTTGACAGTCACTGCAATTGAAGCCGTACGTCATATTAGCATCTGTCAACGTGTGGGGCTGCATCAAAGAAACCGTTTCTTTGTGTTAAAAAAATTACTAAAATGCCGGGGTCGGTCGCATTACGCATCTCAGACCAACCAGTTCTCTGAATCTCTAATCTCGGCGTATGCTGTCTTTTTCCTGAACTAGGTGATCTGGGTGTGTAACAACTGCAGGAAGCAGCAGGAGCTCCTGACAAAGCCGGGCGAGTGGTTCACCGGTCCAGCCGGGAAGCCCGCCGGCCTCGGGTCGGCCATCAGCGAGCCGTCTGTGTGCCAGACGCTCGGCGACAAGAAGCTTCGGTCTCGATCCCAGGCGCCCCCGGGCTCCAACCCGGTGATCCAAGAACCCAACCGACCCGGTGTGCCTGGAGCCGCGCCCGGCACCGATGCCCGGTCGCGCAGCGAGCCACCACGAGATTCGTAAGCTGGAGCAATTGTTGTAGCATTAGAAGTGTGGAAATATTCGGTTTCGCTAAAGTGATGAAGAAAAGGGATCATACCCGATGCAGACATGTCATGGCAACCTACGGGTCTGAAAGGTGAAACCGATGTAAAGCACCTGAAAGGCAAATTGTATGTAAGAGATTTCTGGGAACATTTCCTATAAGTTTGTCTGAACTGTTTTCAGGCAAAGGTGTCTTTGAACACCTTTTTTTTGCATTTCGAATTTACCCAACAGGATGGAAGTACAACCCAACGCTTAATAAGACTCTTTTATTGCCGACTGACAGTTTTTAGATGATAAAAGTGAAATATTTGACTCTTTACTGGACACGTGGAGTAATTCCTCTGCACAGGTCTCGTTGTATGTCGTGCCTCTGTTTGTTTTACTTCCAATGCAAAAAGCTCTCTCCATATTGATGTAACTGACTGCAGCTAGTGGCTGTTTTGTTTCCGCGGTCCAGGACCGGAAGTAAACCACAACTAAACAGTTGAATGTTAACTACGTTAAAATATTTTGTTCGTAGATTAACACGTTTATGTTGACAGCCCAATAGTATATACATATCATTCATCATGATCTCCTGCATTCTTCATTTTTTCTCTTATATAGCTGTGTCTTTAAATAAACTGCTTCTCTCTCTCCCTCCCCATATTGATTGCTCCCCAGGAGAAAGTGGAAGAGGGGGCGGAGGAGCTGGTCGTGGGGAGCGTCGGCAGGGTCAACCAAACTTCAAACCCAGGTGTCCATGGACCGGGACCTCCCGGTGGGAGTCCCGGGAGCGCCGGGAGAGCCGGAAGCTGTCGAAGGGACGCTCTCTGGAGCACGATCCTGTTGGAGGAGTCGGCGGGGTAATGCGGACCGAGGAGGGGGGCTACCACCACATGGACCACAGCGGTGCTCCCCCTCGCCAAGCAGGGCCGGCCCCACCTGGAGGCCGGGGCCACCCTGCTCCTGCGCTGGGTCGAGGCGGGGGCATGGGAGGGGAGGTTGGGGACGGCGTGCGGACCGGACAGAGGACGGTGGGTGGGGTCGGAGGGCCACGCGAACACAACCTCGCTCAGCAGCCCCTGCCCCCCGAGCTCAGAGAGCCCCTCGGCCAAGGGCCCGTGGGGAGACGGACAAAACGTGAGAAATCCGACAGCATGCTGCGCAACGATTCGCTTAGCTCCGACCAATCGGAATCCCTGCGCCCGCCGCCCCCGAGGCCCTACAAATCAAAGCGAGGGATGGGAGCCGGGGGTAAGAGGCAGACCAGCGTCAGCAGTTCGGAGGAGGAGGGCGGGACCACGCCCGAGTACAGCAGCTGTGAGGACGCCGAGATCGAGAGTGTCAGCGAGAGAGGTGAGAGACGAAAAACAAACTGCCTTTAATTCCCACCAGGGAGGGTGCTGAAAGTTCGTTCATTCATTGGTTTGTCGATCCATCACATGAGATATGAGGCAAAATTCACAACTGCTTCACCGTGGTTTCTTACATTTATAGGACCAACAGCAGGTCGTCACAAAAAAAACTAAATCACCAGACACACATCTCTCAGATCACAAGTTAATACTACTACTGATACTACATAATGATAATAATAAACTTTATTTTATACAAACATTGTAGGTCAACATGCTGTATATTTCAATAGAAATATAAAACAGAGAAACTCATTTTTTCTGCAACTTTGAGCAGCCTTTTCACATCCTGTGTGCAGTTAGGATGGGTATCGTTTTTGCCAATGCTAAAACGATACCAAAAACAATAAAACAACAAACAACAAAACAAAAAAGAATAGAATTTATTATTTCTATATTTATGCTTTGCTGCGTAAAATAAAGACATTCGCGAGAGGAAATGAAGTCACGTGTCTGCAGCTCAATGCAGCTTGATTACGAACAACACCCGGAGGAACGTCGCTACACCCTCGGTTTAGGGGGGGTGGTTGTTACGGACGCGCGCTTTGTGTCCGCTGGGGAGCGCGTGCTCTCCTGTATACGCGCACGTGTCTGTGTGTGTGTGCGCAATTGTCTGCCTGCAAAAAAATGTGCAGACTTTAATAACGGGGGAAACACTGACTTTATAAATAGAAGTCAGATAGCTAGCTAGCCAGCGGCTGTAGCTACACTGTGTTGCGTTTCAGTACGGTAGGTACCGGTGGCATATTGGTACCGGTTCTCGGCCGCCAACCCTAAATGATGGAAGACCAGAGACATTTCTTATGTAGCTCCGCCCTCTGGGCAAAGGCTAGAAAACAACACAGAACGCTTGGTCAAAGCGTAGGTGAATTATAAGTACCGTTTTTTCCGCACTATATGGCGCACCGGATTATAAGGCGCATAAGATCCTGCAGTCAAACGTATGACGTCGCGGGGGATGTGGGGAGGTGGAGACTGTGCTTTCAGGGTCCGATCGATGCTGCGAGGTGCGTCCGCTCCCGCCGCCCCCCTCGCCATCCACGTGTAGCCGAGTGGTTCGGGTGCGCCTATACTTTGTGTCGATAACAAAAGAAACAACCCGGAGCTCCAGTTCTGCGCCAAACCACCACCTCAACTTCCTCTCCTTCCATCTCCCCCTTGACAACAAAAGCCCCCACACCGGAACACCTGTGCAACAATAGCTTACTCACGCCTTAAATCTTCGGCTGCTCTCCAGCCACGCCGCCTGCCAAGGGCCCCTTTTAGAATAACTTATTTTCCCAGTTCCCCGTTGGTTTGGTGGAGACGGTGCTTTCGATACTGCAAGGTTCATAGCACAATACCGCCATTATTAAAACGAAGGATGTTTACGAGAGAACGGATCAGATTGCAGAACTTTTTTCGGAAGAAATGCGTAAATATGACCGCTTATACAAACCGACATTGGCGGACTATAAGGACGCGCGGACGGCTTCCCAATTCACGGAGGGAGATCTCCGGTCGAGAGGTGCACAAAGTTGTGGAGGAAAATACGGGACAAATGTGTCCGCGATGAAAAGCAGCAGTGTCGATGCACGAGGCAATAAAGTCTATGATAAATAAATAAACAAACCAACAACTTCCACACACAAAGACGTGACTCTCTAGGTCGTCTTCTACGAAACACGTTACTCCGCCTGTTGTTCTGGTGGTGATTTGCTCTACAACACACGCAAGACTTTTAGAACCATGAATTGAAACGAGTGCGGCGACGCAGAAGCATGCGCCAGCCTTTAGAGTAACTTATTTTCCCCGTTAAGATGGTTCAGCTACTGTAAAGAAAAGGGCACCGTCTCTCGCTCTTTAATCTCATGAAGTGCTCGGCAAGAACGAAAGCTTTGTTTCTCCGACGCGCCCTGAAACAAGCTCCATATCTCACGCGCTTGAGCGCCCGCTCAGCATCTCGCCGTCGTAGACGAGCTTTGGCATGTTGAGCAGAGCGCCTCGAGCGCCGTGTACAACCAGTATGGATCAACCGATTAACCAATTGATCCATACATAAGGCGCTCCGCGTTATAAGGCGCAGGGTCGTTTTGTGAGAAAATTAAAGGCTTTTAAGTGCGCCTTATAGTGCGGAAAATACGGTATCTTCCAGACAGCTACAACTGGAGATGAATGTAATGTTTTAGGAAAAGTTCTTTGCATTGTTGATAACTTCACAATAGTAAAGCTTATCTTTAAGGACAAAAGGCATTCCTGCTAAATGTCTTCATTGTTGCGTTGATTGAAATTCAAATTCATTCCTCAAGGCTCGGAGGAGCGGAGCTTCTCTTCCAATATTTTTAAAACAGTACCTTGCTAATTTCCCCTTTCACTTCTTCATCATCCATCCTATGTGTGCTGTAATACAGTTCAATTTAGAACTTGTAAGGCTGCTCTGTTTCTTCAGAGCATTTCTCAATCTGCATTATTACACAACTTAACTACACAAAAGCAAATGTCTTGCATGATTTCTCGATGATATCTGAATGCCAGCCGAGCATCTTCACAGAATACCAGCGTGCGTGTTGGGGAGTGCGTGCGAGCCGGTTGGCCTATCTGAACGCTTCCCTGTGTGTCAGATTGGATTGTTTTCAGCCAAGCCCGTAGGGGGGAGGGGGTGAGGGGGTAGGGGGTATCCTATACTGAGCTTGTGTGTGTGTGAGGGGGCAGTTTGACCCCAGTTGATCCCACATGTGGCATCACATTGCCAACTACGTCTTCAGCCTGAGAACCCAGTTTAATGTCACGTCCAAGCTGGGTTATGTCACCTCAGTACTAACTCCTCCAAGGCGCCGTGGCGCTCTGCCACACATCTCACTAGATCGGGGTATCTAATGGTGCAGTTATATTCTACTATAGTTTTAAATTTTAGTACACCTCCTCGCAAGAACAAATTATATGCTTGAAAAATTATATTTTTAGTTAATAAAAGTTCACTGTAACACCAAAAAATGTCATCAGCATTCGGTTGTACTTTGCTTCACCATCCCTGTGTCACTTTTGGATGGGTGGCAACACCCTAAAAAACAAGATGGTGACGGAAATGCTCAACTTCAGGATTCAATATCCTTGTGTACAAACACTATGGTTCATTGTAGAACTTCTTTTTGCATCTGGATGATTGGAGTCTATGGACCCAATAGTTTCAAGTCTTCATTTGGTTAATTATGGCCTCATTTAGGGTAAAATAAACAGGCATAATCGTAAAGCAGGTTTTTCTGAGCTGTATGTGACTTAAGTCACTTAAGGCCACTGGCTGATGGCGATTAAATTCATGGCTTACAAACCAGCTGGCCGTTTGTGGGAATATAAATGGAATGAGCAGAAATCCCTTTTCTATATCTTTAGACAATCACTATGAGCCCTGATCTTCCGGATCTACCGCTACATCACCGTATTTGCCAAACACGCTTTAGCGTTCACACTACATTAAAGTCACCCTCTGATCAATAGAGCAGCGTTGTGTCCAGATGAGAAAGAGTTAGCGCAGCACCAGCCGGCCTGGACCCAAACCAGGTACCCCCTCGACATCGATCAAGTGGAGGTTTAGGATGAGAGTGTTCTTTCAGGCCAGGTTTTTGTTTAACTGACACTTTTTTAACACCGGCATGGCAGCGAGATGCTGCTTCTTTTTTTAGTCGTAGACCGAAGCCAGGTCAGCTCTGAGATGTGCTCGCTGGGAGCCGAGAAGCGCCCAGGCATGTAAATCATCATCACACAGAGTAAAATATGGATTCAGTCGCAGCACAGTAGAAACTATTATGATCTTTTTACGTCTCCTCCTACATGCTAACTCATCCTCCGATGGGAACAAAGGCAGCAAAGAGCACAACACAAATATGACAATACGTCACGATACAAATTCTGCAGCATTTACTTTATATGTCAATACTTTTAAAAATCAACCATCAATTATACGATGCATATGTCTGCGCTAAGAATTGCCCCGACATACGCTGATCAATGGAAGCTGATTCCCCACTTTTTGAAACGCCACCTAACAATGTTTCTCCATGTGTGTTTAGTGCCTATATTATATAAAGGTCTTTAGACACTTTTTGAGGAAAGTTTCTCATAGATTTGTGCAGTTGGAACCAACAATCATCCTGCGAATTGTTGCATAGCCTAAACTACTCTAGTTTCAAGGTCAATATCCAGAATTGACTATTTCCACTGCGTAGGAGTGACTTAGGGTTTTCTGCTCTCCATCTCTGGTTCTATTCTCCAGGGAGGAGCGTTTAAAAGATCAAACAATTGTCAATACATCCGTTTTTAAGAAATCTCGTACAACCCTACGTCCTGCACAAGTGGCCCTTCACAGGGTCAGGACCCAATAGTGCGTTCGTCTCTTCCTTCAGGTCTCCTTAGATCTAAAAGCATACGAACACACACCTACTGCACAAAACAACGCAGTCATGAAACTGAGCACCCCGTTTCATGACTGCGTTGAGAATGAGCGTTCTTCTGAGCATTTGCTTGAAGATTACATAACGTAAGTTGTCACAACCCGTTAACTTCATGGCCTCCTGGCTCCTAGCAACACTTGGCTCTGCTTTACCCTGTGTCATAACAGTGTCGTGTCGAACGCCGCCCCTCGGCCCATGTGTACGGAGGAGGCTGTGCTTTTTGGACTGAAGCGGGATATCTGGTTGGAACGTCAAAGATGCTATGTGTAATTCCCTAAAATATCCCATGGAACACGAGAGGAATGCACCAGTTGCTGTCTGTCCGCAGGAACTGGTGCAAGAAAGACGGCTGATAATTGTTATAATATAAATGTTTGATAAATGTTTATTAAATTCTGTTGCCATACATATCAGTTTACTCTGGCTCTAAAGTAGCATTCACACAAGCACCTATTAATCTACTAGACTAAAAGGAACCCATTATAGAAAAACTATCCGTACTTAAAATCCACTTAGCAGCTATTTCTGAAGCTTTTGGTTGTATCACACTGACCTCGGCGGACAGCGCTTGTTCAGTTGTCGCAGGGATGGATCCATTGAAATCGCATGGTACCTTTTTAGGCGTTTCGGCAGGATTCATTCACTGATGACTGCAAGACTGAGATGTGGAAAAATTTGGTAGGGTACTTGATTTGGGATTGTCTTGTGGAATTATTTTAAAGATCAACAATGAATTTCCACAGCCAATTTGAAGTAAACTTTTCTCTTTTTTTGTTTTTAATCTATTTTCATATTTTTTTTGTTTTGTTTGTTTCAAAATAAAATCTTGAATAAAGTTTCAATTTATTTTTTAAAAGATTTCATTAAGTAGAATAAATAATAGAATAACTTGATTTCATTAAACTTTTAGACTTGATGTAGCATTTAAATAAAAATCTAATTACTAAAGTTATATCATATTATATATGATATCATTATTACTGTTGTACACTCCAGCATCTGAACTGTGGCGTAAAGCACCAATAACTCAAACTAATATTAATGCTTTTATGAATTTCCAGCAAGTGTTTTAATCTGTTTTTGGTATCATCACTACCACTCTGGTGATTGCATTTCTAATTCTAGCTCAGGCTGCAGATTCAATAAACCTAACCCTCTCCACTGTAAACAAATACCTTCCAAATGTGGCCGTGCTGTGTATGAGAGGACCCAGGCTGGTATGTGCTGTGTATACAGTTACTCCTGTGTGAATGTATGAAGGAGGTTTCAGCTTTATCCACAACTCTTTCCTCTTGCAGGCGACTGGGAGTGCTACCCGCACGACCCCACCGGATGGCATGTAAGTACTTTTTTTGGATTCTTATTTACCATTAAATGTTTGCCGATCATCTGCATGTGGAGTCGGCGGCGAGAAGTTTTTACATTGTGTTTCAACGGAGATGATGAGAGTGTTGGTGAGCACACTTCTTTGTATTGTACATTTTTTGTTTTCTATGGAATCTATTAATGTAAAACATGGGAGTTTTCTTAGGAAATATTTTTCCGATCTGGGAGGGATTCACTAGCAAATGTAAAGGCTTTTATGGACTCATTGTTAAGAGACTGTTGCTTTGTATCCCTTGGTGATAGTGGGTAGCAAACCTGAGCAAATGTGTTTCTAAGACCTTTTTAAGGAACCGGTCATGCATTCAAACACGTTAACAATAAATGGAAATGAAGTACATCGTCCAACAAAGACACTCCCATCAGTTTTAGAGGGGAAATACAGCTAGAAGATGGGTAGACACCTTAGACTTCACAAAGCCTGCGGCAGCCATACCATAAAGACTTAAATAACTCAATCTCTCGGCGGCAACTGATCTTGTAGCTCCACATATATATTTGGGTAACTGTCCCTCTGACTTGAGTCTCTTGCCATCTCCTCTGTCGCAGCATCCTGTCACCTGGCAACCGTCCAAGGAGGGAGACCATCTAATAGGACGAATCACCCTCAGCAAGAGGAGCGCCACCATGCCAAAAGAAGCCGGAGCTTTGCTGGGGTTAAAGGTCAGAGCGGGTAGCAAGCTTATTATTATTGTTTCAATGTCACGTGTGACGGTTCTGTGGCACAAATATCTCTTTCTTTCTCTCTCTAGGTTGTGGGAGGAAGAATAACAGAGTCAGGGAGATTAGGTGCCTTCATCACCAAAGTCAAGAAGGGAAGCCTGGCTGATGTGGTGGGACATCTCAGAGCAGGTAGTAGTCCAACCTGTCATGCGTGTGCGACAACCAGCATGCAGAGATGGAAAAAATACAAAGTGGCCTTAAAAAGCATTAACAACGGTTTTGGAGGTTTTATTCAACTCTTAGATTAAACACGGCTGTTTTGCACAAAGAAAGGATTTTTTTTTTGCATTATCGTTTCCAATATTTTCCAATCCACCTAATCGTTTTAAAACAGTTATTAAGTTATATATAGTTATAAAACACATGAAGTAGAAGGCTGTCAACATGTTTCTGGTTGTCAACTAATCTGCAAAATCTCCAAGTGAGAAATTTCTTAAAATCATTGTGTATCAAGTCCTGATATTATGGTTGGTTTTGGTCTTTTTATGGGTTTTTGGAAAAACACGATAAATATACAATAGAGATGAAAGTCCCTAAATTTGTGCGGCCCTCATGCCCAAGTTATCACACATCCCAATTCCAGGGGATGAAGTTCTGCAGTGGAACGGGAAGCTGTTACCGGGGGCGACCATGAAGGAAGTTTATAACATCATCCTGGAATCGCAAGCTGAGCCTCAAGTGGAGCTGGTGGTATCCAGGCCTATTGGGTAAGTCAGGAATTAAAAAAACACACCATTTTAAGCCTTAGTGTCATATTTTATGAAATAGTACAAGCATTTTAACTGGATTAGAGTTGGCTCACTTGGATAAGACCGGATTCAGGGACGTTTCATTTATATTCTGACTGAAACTGCGTGACTGCATTCAAAATTGACAGAAAATAAAAAAGCCTATCGTTACCCGCAGCTCACGCTGCCAATTTTTGTAACCGGAGCTTCTGTTTTTGTCTTTCGTGTCCCCTTTTAAAAAAAAGCGTTTGTGGTTATTTCTATGATGTTATAAGGTTTAACATTATTGAGCGCCTTAAAGACTCCATAAACGCAGTGGGCCAAATCACAATTCTTCTTGGTTGACGCCTTCTAAACCAAGATCCTGATTATATTTGTGAGTGCAATAGTTTTTCTTAAGTTTGAAGGGTGCATCATTTCTAGCCATATGTATGGATAATAAGGGTTTGTCTGTTCTCTTAAGTGATTTGGCCACATTGGGAAAACTCTGCATCCTAATTTGGACTTGTTTTACTTTTGGGAAATGTTAAGGATATTTTCATTATAGGCATATTATAATATAATTGTACTTAATTAAATTGCATGGTATAAGATGGAGATGGATGGATTCCTTGCAGACCGGAAATATCAAATAATTGCACATAAACAGCAGCTGAAGGGATTTCTCTTGAACTAATGCTAAGTTTGTTTAAATGTCAATGTAACACACATTGTAATATATTGCTGTTGATAATTTGTTGTTGTTGTTTATTTTAAGTATACTATTTGTGTTTTTGTGAAGCTGGGTGAATAACGTGCTTGGGTAAATAATGCATTTTGTGTGTTGTGATGCAAGAGACATTTCTTAGAAAATGTATTTGAATCAAACTTTTTTTTCTCTGGAACAGAGATTATGTAAAGTGCTTTATTTTACAGGTCTATGATTTCTATATGCACTTAATATAATCTTTTTTACTTATTTGGTACTAATCATTTAAAGAAAACCTTTTAGTCGCTACTTTATTATCTTCACATATTGACTTGAATGCCCTTCTGGGATTTGCATACAATTAGTTTTAAAATACTTCCAATATAATATAAACTTATAAGTAACATATGTCTTAATATGCGTATCTGGGGAAATAATGTCACACAGAACATGCCGTACATCATCACATAAGCCTAAATTCTAATATGTACATTTACATAAAGCATTCTGAATAATCTATAGGTTTTTTATTATGTACCTGATCCTACACAGAATGTTTAGAACTTTCTAAGATAATCTTCTCAAATAAATGGTGTTGTTACTGAAAATATTCAGTAGCCTCACAAGAGTAACAAATGCGCGGAGCAGGTTGAGTTTCAAGATTTTTGATTTGCTATTATTGTGAAGATTATGTAATAGGTTGATATTATTTCACTGATAAAATACTGTTTCTTAAAGCTCTTGCAGCTTTTCGTAATGTGTAACTCAATTTTTGCTGGGAAAAATAGTTGAATGTGTTAATTTCTCTCCAAACACTCGCGAAGGGTGTATAGAAAATATCAGTAAGTAATCTGCCCATTTTATTAGGACCCCTTAATCCTCTCACGCTTATGGAAATAATCTGTGTTTTGCTGGTGCCATTTTGCGTCCCTAAATGAACTAAGTTGAATCCTGCTTAGTAGGATTCATGTAAATATATTGGCTTTTGTGAAATCTAATGAAGTTTGTCTTCTCCAATTGAATTGAACTAAACGTTCACTTAAAGGGTTGCAAAATGGCCAATGGGAAATATCCATCAATGCAGCATTGCTTTTGCAAGCTTTTTCAAAAACCGTCTGTGCTGCGTCTGGAATTCCTCTTTTTGCATTCCTGGTTAAGTTTTAGGATCCCAAAGTAAAATCCTGCACTTTTGAGTTTCAAATAAAAATTGCTTATTTATTTTATTTTATGATCCCCTAGTTTGAAAGTTGGGATTCATCAAGCAAGGAATATTTCCATTCGATTTCATGTATGTTTTTTTCTTTTGGAATGGGCCCAAAGGCAACTTAGGGTCCATGAAACACTTGTCAGTGTAATATTTGTATTTTGAAATTTAAAAACTATTCAAAAAGAGTGGGAAATATACGCAACAAGGAGAAATGAGAAGATGGATATCTAATGTTTGCATGTTAAGCACAGCTCTGAAGCTACGGTGCCGTTCAGCTCAAATCTTAATGTTAAGCTAGGCTAACGTCATCTCAATTCTAGCTCTCTACTTAATGCAGGAGTGGTATCCATCTTCTCATGCAACTCTCAGAAAGGTAGTAATTAAGTGTGAACTAGAGATTTACTTACATTTACATTCTTAATTTATTAACATTCTATGTTTGACTAAGGAATCTAACATACTGCCTTTCCATGTGCTACAAACAAACCCTAACAAAACCTCCTGCAGATATCCATGGTGGGGCAAAACATTTGTAATAATGAACTTGAATAGAAAAATTACACTGATAAGTAGTATGCAAAATACCAAGCTTTCGTTCTACAACATGAAGCTGGTTCAATGGATTCTAGTGTTTCCCATGGGATCGTAGTGGTGGTGGATAAGAAAAGCTCGTGGTGTGAACAGAATAGAGCAACCGGTTCCAATTCAGTACTACCTGAGATGATCATTGGCAAGCCAGAATGTCTGAATGAGTCTGGGAAACACCGTAGTCATGAATGTGGCTCTACTCACATTGTCACTCTGCTTCTACATGGTTTTTTAAATAACTTTATATCGCAGTGCTACTTTCTTCCACTTAACTACTACTACATTTTCATGCATGTGTGCCTGTGCATCAAGAAAACTACTAACTTTGTTCAATCAAACCATCGTCTTGATGCCAATATAAGAGTAGCTAACGCAGCCTTTTTCTCTGCTTCTGTTGCAGTGATATCCCAAGAATCCCAGACACGTCCCACCCTCCATTAGAATCTAGTAGGTATCGTCTGCCTGATGTTGGAACATCTGTGTTGGTTTTTCTGTATCTCGGTCTGGTAGATGTATTGTCTTATGCGTAAAAGTTGCAAGGTGGAGTGGGGGAGGGGGGGCTTAAGGGGGCAGTCTGCCTGGCGCTGTGGAATAAAAAATATAACCATTAACAACTCTGAAGCACTGATGAATATATTGCATCTCATTTGTAAACTCAAACAGAAATGTGAAATCACTATAAATAATAGTGACTTCGTAACCTGAGCCAGTGTAGATGCAATATGTATGCTAAGCTAGGGAAAAATCACTGTCGTCCTGGAGAGACGTGTGGTCTGAAATCTCAAAATCATCTCCACCCCCACCCCCCCCAAATGTAACAGCAGGTTCCAGTTCTTTTGAGTCCCAGAAGATGGAGAGACCATCCTTAAATGTCCTGTCTCCCTCCAGTCCTGGGATGCTTCAAGATGCTCCACAGTTAATGCCAGGGCAACTCTCAGTGAGTGTGTTCATTATGAGCGTGTTGGGGCTGTTGATGAATTCAGACAAAGTACAAGCATTGGAATGTTTGGTTTCTGTTTCCTAAACCCAGGTGAAGCTGTGGTACGACAAAGTGGGACATCAGCTTATAGTCAACGTGCTGCAGGCCACAGAGCTTCATCTTCGGCCTGACGGGCGTCCCAGGAGCCCCTACGTCAAAATGTACTTCCTTCCAGACCGCAGGTATTCCACCCCCTCAAAGGCAGCACCACTGATTCAATGCAGTCTACTTTTTAGTCTGTTAACGCAGTTAAAGTGGTTTGAAGTTTGGGTTGTGTGAGATAACGTTCCATAGTCAGTGTATCATCTGAAATAGAGAAACAGACATGCGCTCCAGGATGGGAGCAAATGAAATCCACTTTTTACTGTAAAGAGAGTCCACAACATGTTATGTAAAACAATGGCTGTGAGTCCGCTGCAAATTAAGACCGGTATTGCCTAACACAGCGACAAGAGCAAGCGGAGGACGAAAACAATGAAGAAGACCTGTGAGCCCAAGTGGAACCAGACCTTCGTCTACCCTCACGTCCATCGCAGGGATTTCCGCAACCACATGCTGGAGCTGACTATATGGGATCAACCCAGGTCACCGGATGAGGACAGCACCTTTATGGGAGAGGTACCACACACGCATACTTACAATGAACTCTCTTCCCCTTAACCGCCTCTAGCACTGAGAGAGAACAGAAAAATGACACGACACTTTAGTCCAGTAAGTTTCTCCTTTTTACATGAACATTCAAATATTGTTTGCGTGGATTTTAGTTGCAGATAAAGATACTTTGTGGACTTTTGGGGTCTCGGGTGATGATTTTGATCTTTTATTTTACTTGCGGCGGTGTCCCTAATTCCATTCGCATGGATCAGTTATTCTTCCAATAAACTCGTAGTAAACATATTTGCCATACTGACTTTATAATGCGTTATAGGTCCATGTGCCTTGTTTTTCCACGAAAAAAACCTACAAAAACATTAGCGTGCAAAGCGTGGAATGCATCGCTTGTAATGTAAAAAGCTTTCCCGATGTACATTTTCACAAACAGCTTCTCTGCTGTAATGACGCGGCAGCAAAAAAACTATTGATCACTGTGTGGATTGTGACCTGACCAGATCCTGATAGAGCTTGAGACGGCCTTGCTGGACGACAAGCCCCACTGGTACCCGCTCCAAACCCACGACGTCTCATCCATACCGCTGCCCCGGCCCTCTCCGTACCTGCCCCGCCGACTCACCGAGCCCCACGGCAAGAAGCTGCAGCGTAAGTCTGCGGGTGCCTTTCTATTGTATATGTTCATGCATAACATGTGTGTGCGTTATCCTGTTGAATAGAGAAAGGATTGTGTGGTGTTTACTGTTGTTTACTATCAACGGGCAAAGTATTTCAATGTAAATGTATTTTTTAACCCCACCCTTCCCATTAACACTACATTTGTGTCTGAATACATGTATGCATGCATGCATGTATGTGTGGCGTGCATACATATCTATGTGTGTTTGTGTGTGTGTGTGTCCATGACGTTTAGGTTCTCAGCGTGTAAGAGAGCCTGAATTTGATGAAGGTACTGCAGTAATGTCCAAAGGTGGGTGGGGATTGTTTCCTAGTATTGCCTCCAGTGTTTCCCCGCAAACTGTACTTTATTTGTGGTGTTTATTTACGACTGTCTGCTCTGCTGAATACGTGTTACATGTTTGTATTTTGGTGCCAAAATGCAACCTGTTATTTTGTCACACAAAGTAGTTGATAGAGGGCAAGCAGCCCTTTGGCTCCACCTGACAGATCCTGAAGATCGTTTTATTGTACCTTTGCCCTACAGTGCAAATGACTAGCAAATCTAAACCGGTATAAGAAAATGAGAGGCCACCACAAATAAATCATGTGAACTAGCATGTCATAGCAACAGTCAGGCGTGCTCGTGCCTCAGAAGGAACGAGTCTGGAATTATAAAAGATACTTTATTATTGTGTATGTTGAGACACTCCGCCTCTTTTGTTTTGTAGTGTGTGTGTGTGTGTGTGTGTGTGTGTGTGTGTGTGTGTGTGTGTGTGTGTGTGTGTGTGTGTGTGTGTGTGTGTGGAACTGTTTACTGTAAGTGTCTGAGTGTTTGTCTGTGTGCGGTAAGGTTGGACTGCTAGATTGGTAACAAGAATCAGGTTGATATTATTCATTGATTTCATTTCCAGGATTTAAAACTCTCTTCCCCTACAAAGTAAAATGGGGTGTGAACTGTATATTTAACTTATTTAATTACATATCAAAGGGAAAAATAGAAGCATTCTTCATAGTACTGGTATTGTGTTTCAGACACTTTGTACCTTGACAGCACATTCCTGGTGGCAATACTGAATATTTCAGTATTGTACTACTGATGAGGAGGGCAGCTGCAAAGTATATTTTAGACACCTAGAAAATCCTTATAAGTCTAAGTGGATGCTATATTTAGATCATTTTTACCGCATCACCTTTCCTTCAGACAGCCAGTTCCTCACAAAGAACCGTTATATCCAAAACCACTTTGACAAAAACATTAATATTACCGCTCGCTGGCTGGTCTCCTTCGGTTAGGATTTATTGTGTTATGGTGCAACTGGTGATTCAGAATTAACCCTTTAAAACAAAAAGGGACTGCACAAATAAAGCATGAAAGGATAGTTTTTGTCAAAGGAGTCTCGTGACTTTGGACACAACCGTTAACCACAAGTTACATCGGCGAAAATAGTGTGAATATAGCGTACGCTAAAGTGATATTTACTCATCTCACGACGATCCCTCCTGCCAGGCTTTAGTTGATGCGTTGTGGAAGCGTGCCAGTGACTGGACCGTCCAGTGTCCCGTGAGGAGCTACCGGCAGCTAGGACATCTGTTCACTCAATGCTAAAATGGTTAGCGTTGATGCTGCCATAGCATCACTTCTATCAGAATTGGAGAGCATCATCGAAAAAAAGAGCAAGGAAGGTTTTTTTTCATCCAATCAGTATTTATTGAAAATGCAGTTTCCAATGACGGCTTCTCACCCGACGGTTCTTTGTAATAAGAACCATCTGCCGGGTCAGGTTGTGTTTTTTTCTGTCGATGTCACATTCTGCTGCTGCTCTGTTTCTGCTGCTGTACTTTGTACTCTTTGTCCAAAGTGGAGGTGAAACAAATTCAAACAATCCCTTTAAAACTGGTCAAATTCAATGATTTTGAGGATCAACTCACCATGTCAACTGTCTTCAGTCCAACCTACTATGGATCTATGTTTCTTCTTATAAGCACCCAAGATAAAATAGAGAGACAGAAGGGATGGAAAAAATACACCACTTTGACCAACGTTTTTTCTTTTAATTCCCATGCATGGCACGAATAAATAAAAAAAACCTTGGTGACACTTAAAGCAAAGCGAATGGCCCCGCTGTGAGCTGTGAGGTGCTGTTCTTTTGGAAACCAACCCAGTGGCCATGGGACCACGAACAAAGCCCGACACAGTCGCACAGATGGTTCAGTGTGTTTATACTTTATACTCACCGGACAAAGTACTGAAAAAAGCCAGCTGCTGTTCTATTGTTAGTCTGGTCTCTAACAAACTTTGAATCTTTGAGATAGACTTTCCTGCTGTTCCCATATGTGAATATATTCATATTAGCATGTGACTTTCCTGTCCCGCTGTCCGTTATCTCATTGTTTTAATGTCTGATGTTATGCACCTACCGTTCATTGAAAGATTGAAAAATTGGGTTGGATTGAATAAAAGCTTTAGGATAATATATTTTATAATGTCTGCTTTTAGATGTTTCTGGGTGCATGAACAAATCATATTTTTCCGTTTTGTAGTTGCAGAGGCAGTTGTAGATTTCCGTAGCTTTTTCACTGCAAACTACCTAATATTGCCCCCTTTATTTATGACATAATTACTCTCATTTCTGAGTATTTTTTCCTATTTATATTTTAATTGTTTATATTTGATTGTGTGTGTTTACTGCTATTTTCCCACCCAGCAGCGGACGGGCGTGGCAGGGAGAGGCAGCGGGAGTCCACGTCCACCCTGGAGGTGCCGGACCAGCAGAGGACGCCCGCCCATCACATACGCTCCCGCTCGGTCTCGCCTCACCGCGAGGAGCAAGGGAGGACGCGGTCGCGGCCGCCCAACGTCCCCGCACAAAGGTTTGAATGTTTTTATGAAGGAGCACTTTTCCCTTTAGGAATAGTGTGATACATTAATCAGCTTGACAGATGATAAACAAAGAAATATTTAAAGAAACGGATGCCAAATGTTTTAAGTCATTAAAAAGTTAGCAAATGTAAGTTAATGATAAGCCCCTTTCTCCGCTCCAAATAGGCATATTTCAGCCAAATATAGATGTTTTGCTCAATTTAGTCCGTTAACACGCTGTTAAGTCTAAGAATGGAGGATGACGGTAGGAATATATAGAGCCACTTATAAAAGGTAAAAGCAGCATAAGGAGGGAGAGAGGACGAGTGAGCGAGTTTGTTGGAAGCCAGCAAATGGAGTCCATCTACTAATGAAATGTCTGTCTGATGCAGAACACACAGTGCTGCCAGCTCTGCTCTTACTGCCTCGAGCCAAGCGACTGCTGCAATACCGCCTGACCGCTAACCTGAAGCCTTCCCACCTTCCCTCATTCCTTCCCTCCTTCTTGTCTTTCAGGAGTCTGGATGACGAGCTTCCTCACGCACGCCGCTCGCGCTCTCCGACCCGCCACTACGACGCCGTCAGGGGTCGCCGCCATGAGGACGAGTACCTGGATGACAGGTGAGAGCCCCAGCTGGTATCTAATTCAACTAAAACAATTCTGTGTTCTTTTTAGGTTTGTGTGACATCAACTGCTTATTTGTGTGTCCAGCTGGAACTATATAGCAAGATTTCTGTGCTTTAATGTGTTTTGACACAAAGTGTAAATGCGAAATGAGATTTTCAAATTTCACCTTTTTGTTAATCATTGCCATTCAAAAAAACATGTTCCCCGATTTCATTTTTCCACCCCTGATGTCGCCGGATTTCTTTTTCACGCCTGTTTTCTTTGAGCCTGGAACCAGGTTTGGTTCTGTCCGTTGATTTTAATATTGTATAAAGTGACTCAAGAGGTGTTTCGATCAGAACGGCTTTGGTCGCAACAATCTGTGTTATTTGTAAGTGTTGTTTGTGTCATCAGGTGGCGATCAGCCACAGCTCCTCTTTCCTATTCAACCTCTTCTCCTTCTGCTCTTCTGTTTGTTTCTTTGACTGTTGTTGATTTCTTAATGTGTCATCCATCCTCATGGTAACCACAGTGAGGTCATCATGATCCACCAGTCAATGCGAGGCAAAAGTGCCGAATGCCTCCACACCAGGTAAACCCGGCCAATCCCGAGATGTTGTTTACATTTTGCGTTTTGGGATCAGTTGTGGTTGAGTGCTCGTAGTGTTCTTTGTCACATTTTGTCTCCGTGCAGTGAGAGATGAGAAATTATGTGTCTCTTTGCTCTAAAGGTAACACAAGTGTTGTAAAAGTGAATTGTTTTTTGTTCTTTAAACAGAACACAAACCACACTGACACACGAGTAAAACTTTTGACTGCTTCTGATAGACAACAATTCCCATGAAAAGATCAACAATCCATATTTTTATCTTTCCCTTCTCTTATCTGTCTGTGGCTCTCCGCCCCAAGTCCATTTGTTTCTACTGAGAGGTCTGAAAATCCTTTGTTAGTTTAGAAAAGAAAAAAAAAGAGTGGCAAATAACTCACAGCTGTACATTATAGTTTTTGGCAAACAATACTCAAACAGGAAGAAAACAAGTGACTTTTTCTGTTTTTTGGTGCGGATTAACGTACATTTGGCTCTATTGAGCATCTGTGACAGCAGGACTGTGTTTGAGGGATTGAGGGACACACGGACGCATTCGCTCTCAGGTCTGGTCTTTTCATGCGTTTTTTTGACAGAGAGAAATGTGTAGACTATGACTGCTGACAACGACCTCCCTTTATTATTTGGTCTGCTGCGGATAGTCAGGAAAGCATCATGTGTTGGAATTCGCACGCTTCATCTTCTTTTTAAATAATTTAAAAGCCGGAAAAATGTGCGCCCAAGAGCTGTTTGTCTAGCTGCACTGTTGCTGTTGATCCACAAGAGGACACTGCAGGGCCGCGTGTGCGTGTTTACCAACATGCGCCTCTGCTCTGCTGCCCTAAAATACCGTTTGATCTGTCACTACATTACACTTAACTTATCTGCTGGAGTTGCCCTCCACGTGGCTGTGTTGTAAGGCTATTTCAGCACAAGTCAGCGAGGTAAGTTGCACGCTTCAGAGCGCGTCTCGGAGGGGCCTCCTCGTACACGGCCGTGACCTCTCGGGAAGAAGCGCCACAGAGCTGGTCAACATTGCGCTGTTCTGTTCCACGCGGATGTGTTTGAGGGATCAGGGTGTTTTGAAGCGTGTCAGTGGAGATGACAGTCGGGCCTTCGACGCTTGCATGGCTGCCATGCGGTGCTGTAGTTCTTGGCTGCTTACACTGCAAAAACAAAACTACAAGCTTAGCCAGTGATTTGAGAAACATGTCGAACGACATCACTGATGAAAAACATTGAGAATCAGTGAGTCAGCTGATAATCTATTGCCTTAAATCACTGGATAAGTTGGCACCTGCTTTGGACCTGTACAACTTCCTGTTTCTGTTGTGCACAACAACCCCACAGAGTTGTTCTTTTTCACCCATTCCTCCCATTTTCCTACCTGTGTCTGTTGCATGCATGCTAACATCAGGAGATCTACCAGGCACAATAACACACTGCCACCTAAGATGCCCCTTTTGTTCAACGGCACCAAACGCACTAACAGGTAAGTCCTCCGGTAACGGTCCAGTATGCCTCAAACAAACCATGTGCCTTATTCTGGATTCCTGTTTATGGTTTTTCCTTGAGGTGACACTACAGGAAAAAATACATCATTTATTAAGGGATTTTAGGCTTTATTGATAGAAAGTTAGTACCAAGTAATGTCTCGTTCACATATGTTACATTGTCCCAGTATCATGGCCATATTCTCTTTTTACCTATTATAATTATTACACATTTTTTTAGATATTATAGTAATAATTGCATGTTTACTTTTGTTTACGCCCGTCTGCCATGGAGGACTGTAGATCAATGGTCCCCAACCACCGGGCCACTTGGTACCGGGCACAAAAAGGACAAACAAAACCTTTTTTTTTCTTCTCAAAATAGTCTGCCATCATTTTTTTGCTCCCCTTTGTAGTCTAGAATAATTTAAAAGAACACAGAAAATGTACAGCATGTGTTCAGAAAAGGCTTAATAGACCACTTCAAATCCTGTTCTGCCTTCTTCTTTTCGTTTCACTGAAGCATGATGGTTAGATGACAGTTTCCGATTTATTTACACAGTACTTTTTTTATTTATAGCTTTTTATTGAAACTGCGGATAGTGTTGGATAGTCGAGTCCCACCTGTGCATAAATTGTCTAATGTCTTTCAGACATTGTGGGATGAGCACCTTGTTTGAAGCATTCTGAGGCTTTTACGCATTCCACGACACCGGTTGTTCCTTTCGTTTGAATATCTTCTACAGCGGCAGGAGCTTCACGGATTCCTTTCCAATCTGAGCTTTCTTTGTTTTCGTTTGCAAATGCATGCTGTTTTGGAAATTGTCATCTTGTAAATAGCTCCTTGCCGCCTGCATGCCGAAAGATAAGCGCTGCCGCAGGTTCGCGCGTGGTCGTGGCAACGCGCCGCTCCATCACAACACACCGCATCGTAATGTTCACAGATGAGGTGACCGTTGGGTAAGACACACACACACACACACACACACACACACACACACACGCGCGCGCCCACATTATAATGAATGGTTTAACATCGGCCGGGTTGGGAGAAAGGCGGAGAGCGTTCCGTCTTATAAAACAAAAACCCACAGGTTTCCACTCAACCCCATCTCCATGACAACCAAGACAACCCGCGCCAGCCAGCCAGCCATGGTTTATTTCTCAGTCTAGCATTATGGCTTTGGGAATCTAACCTGGACGTTATTTTAAAACATCTATTTTTCTGTTTTTCCATTGTTTCCTCTGTTTTCTCCTGTCTCCCTCCTCCTCCTCCATTGGATTGGCATGTTGTGCTGTGGTGCCTCTAGTGATCTGCAGCCTTCTCTGGACAGGGTTAGGAGCGCTAGCGCCAATTGTCTGACTCCAAACATTCACGCCCCCTCATCAGAGACTGAAAGGTACCAGCCTCTGTCCCCGCCCCCCCCAACCTTCCTGTAGTGCTCCAGCAGCCTCTTATCCTCTACCTTTCCTGGTCTTTTTGTAGTTCTTTCCGCTCTTAGTGGTCCTACTTGAAGATTTGACTCACCCCTCCTCACTTTGCTGCACACCGCTCCACTGTTTCTTTCTGCTGTTTCGCTTTGCAGCTCCTGTGTTTCTCCACAATCCTAAAGCTGTGTACGAAGGTGCAACGATTTTCTAAAACTGACAATGATGGATCTATCGCCTTAATCATTAGTAATACTAATACTTGAACAATACTGCATTTGTTTAACTACTCAACTCCAGCAATACTTTGTAGAATTCCGTGTAATGTTTTTCCATCAACAACGAGACACTTTTGGACCCATCGGAGATTGACCCCCTACTAACCGAATCGGTGCACCTCTTCTTATACGCCTCACGTAATCACTGTATGTCGAGATAAAATCACCCTGCTTGGTGTCACACAGCCCAGGTTCAATGGAATCAACCCTGCAACAGCTCATGCAACAGATTTGCAATCCTGCTTGATTCAGGGATTTCTGCTGCCAGGGTTGTTTTCTTGTTTAGCTGTACACAGATTGTGAGCAAAATATTTGTTGGAATTTGTTGTCAAGTTGTAACTTGCAGTGCAAAAGATGGGGGTCAAAATACTCAGTCCTCCTTCCTTTGATCTTTATCCTGGAAGTTGCATTCCGGTTTGTTGTTGGTCATTTCTTGGCAACAAATCCGCTAAGACAAAATGTGAAGATTATTAGTGGATCCGCAGAGTGGTTTCGATCCACTCCAAAATGTATTGAATTCTCCATCAAGTTTAGGAAAAATCCAACTAGTAGTTTTCCCATAATGCCGTTGACAAACACACAAACAAAAATAAGACCTAATGAATGAGGGAAGAAATGTGAAGTTGTTATTGGGTTTGCTCTTCCACCGGTTTCATGAAAATTGGGTCTCGTAGTTTTTCCTGTAATTCTCGCTGACAGACAAAAAACAGGGCTTGTATATCAGGTGTTTTCCGGCAAATTACCAAGAGATATGTGCACCGATTGACCCCCAACGATGGAATAGTGTGACTCTGTAACGGTTTGCTGATTTCGTCATATATGGGTGACATATTTTGTATGTGTACACATAGAAAACCTTTTTCCCATTCGCTGCCTCGGCGACGTCCGGCAAGTCCCAGGATTCTTATCCAACATGCGTCTCCTGAAGATGACAGGTACCCGTTTGTGGACCCCCGGGTGCTTCCGCTTAGAGCTTGACTCATGCCTTCAAATCTGATGTCATTATTAACCATAACGTGTTTTGTTGAATTAAGATGAAAGCACATGGTATTCAGTACAAGTCACTAATTCCCAACCCCCCCCCCCACTCCCCCCCAGCATTGTAAGGAAGTGACTGAAATACTGCTTCAGGGTTCAGTTGTGTCTTATTGGGTTCAGGCAGACGTCAAGCTCTACCGCCTCTCTGCAGCTACCTCTGATCTCTTTTCTGAGTTGTGATATCTCTGATTAGCTGGTAGTAAATTTGCAACCAAAACTATTCTGACTCTTTCTTCTCTGGTAAAAGTGAGTGACTTTATCTTGCACCATTAACAACAAGCTTCGACTGACTTATTTTAGCAACAACAGGAAAGTGCCTGTTTTTATGAGAAACCGTTCAACATTTTGAGAAAATGTGACCATTAGATGAGAAGATCCACAGCATACTCATAATTGTCCTCTTGAATACAAAGTTCAAACCAAGGGAAGTTGAGCTTAACATAGAGCTCATAATTGGCGTAATCTTGGCTCTGCACAAATAGAAGGCGTATAAAAATAAGACATTATTTGAACGTACCCAAAGCTGTTTCCCACTACTTCATATATGTGTGCTATGCTACGCTAATATCTCTTGACTTTAGCATCATACTTAACAACAATAGGAGGTGGTATCAATCTTCTCATCTAAGTATTGAAAAAGGTGTACAATTGTTCATCCCGATATGTTTAAACTTGATCATACCTGAAATTGTTCAGCAGCAGCAATTGCAACTGCAGGGTTTCACTTGATATTTATTTTGACAAAGACAAGATGAAATCACAAGCTATTCCTGAATATCTTTCTATCGCCTTCATTTTCTGGTTTGCGGTGGATGAGCTGCACACAGTGAGAGTGAACATGGTGCACAATGTAGATCTTGTCACGATGAAAGTTCTACTTTGTTGTGTACTGCGTCACTCACATTGTGTAGAGGGTGCTCGTGTGGTTTTTCAGCTTGTGGGTGGTGTCTTTCTGGTTTGTAATTTGTTGCTGAATTGTAGCGATAGTTTCTCGTCCCTGGTTGTGGTTTTTGATGCAAAGGTTTTTGTCCTGTGGCTTTTCCTTCCTATCTTTCCTTCACGTTTCCAAAAAAGTCACCGGCGTCTTGTCTTCTAAACTTAGTAGTTTGTACTGGTTCTGTTGTGAAACTCCGCTTTGTTTGGTTCGCCTCGTCTTTCTGAAGTGTACTTCTCTTTCTGGGAATTTCCATCTGCAGCTTCTGTGTGCTCGTCTCGTACACACACACACACACACACAAAGATGCAGTTACAGACGATGTATTAGTGTCTGAATCATTTCACAATGACAACATCCATCACAGCATGGCCCCTGTTTCCTGTTTTCCCGATCGTAAAGGTATAAAGCTGAAGACAATTACACGCTTTATATCTAAATGATATATTCTGTCATCCATCCCCATTTTTTTTGTGTGTGTATATCGCTGCCTTTTAATCATCCACCATTCTCCAGGCAGCCTCGGACCCTGGAGACGCCCGAGTGCCACACTCTTGGCAGCGAGCTCCCAGACAGTGGCAGGTAAGGCATGTACTGCAGGCTCAGCACATGTCAAACAGTAGTGTACGAGTTCCTCCACGGGAGCACGACATTATGCAACCAAATATATATTTATTTACACAGTATATGCTGGTAGCTTCTAACACCCCATTCACTAGTTGAAAGAAGACATCTTTTCTTTCTAATATAGGGTTGAATAAAAAATTTAGTGTACTATGCAATTTAGATACTTTACCAGATAAAGCTGTGAAACGCGTTACAAACTTCCAAAGGACAAAGTTAAAAATCGTACGTGGCGCGTGAGGAACAATCTGTAGGCGCCAAAACGGTTGAAATGAACTTGAAGGTTTGAAGATCTAAGAAACAAACGCTCAGACGAGTGTCATTAGAAGGGAATTCCATTATTATGTTCTTGTAATATTAAATAACTATTCGAATTTATTTTGTATTACAACATGTATTGGAAATCCATTGAATTTCACATTTATTATACTTTTTTATTTCAATTCTTTTGCTCTTTTTTTTTTTTTTTTTTTCCTCTCGACCCCATCTTTCCTCCCTCCTTTCACTTCCCGCATGCTGCTGCTTCCACTCTGTGTTGCGGGGCCTCGGGTTTGTATGGCACTCGTGTGACTGCGCGTATGTGTGTGTGTGTGTGTGTGTGTGTGTGTGTGTGTGTGTGTACCAGAATCAAGCCCACCTCCATCTTAAGGGGCTCCAGAGGAAAAAAGGCCCCACTGCGGCCCCTCGGTAAGGGCAACCTTGGAATGAGGGCCCCCGAGTGGAGAGGCACGAGACGGGGCTGCACTCGCACTCCCACATGCGTTTACGTGTTTCTGTCTTTGCTGTTTGTGTATGTGTTGTCAAGATGATGTGAATAGACGCAAAGTGTATCTTTAAGTGTTGTTGTTTTTTGTGTAAAACTATCAAATGAAGTAATTCATAGATTTAGCAGCAGTAAGTTTAACCTCTTGCCCTTTTCACATTATAAGCAGCCGACGACGTGGAGTCGACAAAGTAATGGGCAGTTCAGAGCGAAATAAGAAAACGTTTTTCTGAATAACCGCTGGTCTCAGGTCTGTGGTGAGAATGGATTACAAATGAGTGGGTGTGCAGATGTGGAGGGATTTGTGTTTGAAGGCTTTCACCTTCTATGTGTCATATGTGCACTGTCTTAACCTTTATTTGCTGCTCTCCCTGCAACAGGATCAATAACCGCCGACCCCCTCAACCAGCTTCACTTTGTGAATTTGCTACTGATTTTCACAAAAATATTGTTGCAGTTATTTTGTTTCCACGACCTATAGTTGTTTTTCGTGCAGCCACATTCTGTAGCTTCTTTTTTTCAATGCAATTTACATGTATTTGATATCTTAAGATAAGAAACGTGGAACGACGTTCCATTTGGTGGTTGTTCTGCTCAGTTTCTTTTGTTTACTTCAGGAAAATTCCAGCCACGTCTAAATGATGCTGATTAGAATGGGATCAGCTCCACATGTGAACATCCAGCCTGTGACCACCGGAGCTGCAGTGTCACAGAGATACTGACTTTGATTTGTTTTTCTCTTCCTTTTCATCCTCAAAATCCTTCCTCCTTGCTTCTGTTTGTCTCCTCACCCCCCTCCTCCGTCTCTTTGTCTCCCACCCTCTCCACCACTATTATCTTGTATCAGGGGCCACCTCCAAGGTGGTGCGTCTCTTTCCTCCTCCGTGACGTCCTCCTCCAACCGCAGGGTGAGGCAACTCCCACAACTTCCCCCCAAGAGCAGCACTGTAGAACAAGGTACGCATCGCTGCCGGTTTGGATTGTTAAACTGAACCTCTGGTGAGGGGCGGTTCATTCATTCTGATGCAGGGAAATGTGTACATTCTTATTGTTATTCTTCAGAACATTCTATATGGAAATGAAAATAATATAAATGTTGGTTTAAAGTGGGTGGTTTGGATGTTTCAAAGTAGGGTTATTATATATTCCGTGTATTACCCGACGGTGTCGATGGCGGTCAGCACGTAGCGACAGAGGAGCAAAGTCATGTAGTGCTGTGGACAGAATGTATTTTATATGCCGTATTAAGAATATTTTACCACTTAAACAAACGGGCCTTTTCAAAAGGGGAAACTAAGCCAATATGTCTCTTCAAAGCCAAAAGACTCCATTGACTAAACAGTCGTTCTACCTCAGAACTATACAGCAAATAGGGTCAACTTGCGGTTTATGTGGGAGTTTATCTGTTTTTTTGTACTGTGTGTGTGTGTGTGTGTAGCCCTGGTAGCAGAGGAGTGCGTTCGTCAGCTCCAGATGAGGGTCCATTCCAACCGGGCGTCAGCTGCCACCACCTCCAGCCAACAGGACCTGGACCGGGCCCTCAAGAACAAACGGGAGGTGGGCCACAACTGTTATTTCTTTTTTGAGGGGAGGCTTCATTCAATTGGACATTCAAACCGACTCAGCAGGACAACACAGTGGGACAATAAGGGTTCCAACCAGAGCATGTGCCAAAATGTTGAAGTGCATCGCAGTATTAAAGTAACGTATTAATCAATTTCCCCAATATTAGAGAAATACTTTGCATATAAAACCGATTTGTAGGATTCATGTCACAAGTACTGAGGGTAACTTTAAAGGCCTTTTAAATAACACAGTTGTTACTTGTTTGCCCAATTAGACATCTTGATGCACCCTTTTGTGTGTCTTTCAGACCTTTTTGGCTTCGCATTGCAGGAAAGTCAGTTAAAAAATAAAAATCACCCAGAAGTGACAGCCAGCCAGAGTATTTGAAAGCAAAGAAGCTTCAACAATTCCTAGTTATTTCAAACATCATTATGAAGTTTGTTTCCGATCTGAAAGATGTCTTTTCATCAAGCAAATGTGGTTATAAAAAATACATAAACAGTGTGAAAGAATACAGGTGTTGCCATTTTCAACCTTTGCTTTTTCTGCTGCCACGACTTCCCAAAATCCGTCTATATTATATAATACTACTAATTACTCTTCCTTGTTCACGATTACTTGGACAACCTACGAAAAGAAACCGGCGCATTATTGTCCTGGCTGACGTGTTTCCCCAGCTCTACAAGGACCAGAGGCGGAGCACCGAGAACGTCTCCCATAAGTCTTCGGACAGCGATGTCAGCGACGTGTCAGCCATCTCTCGAACCAGCAGTGCCTCTCGCCTCAGTAGCACCAGCTACATGTCCATCCAGTCGGAGAGACCCCGGGGACGCTTCAGGTGTGCACACCTGCACACGCACACAAACCTGGTCACGCTGCCTTTTCCTAGTGTTTTATTTCTGATAACTGTTCAGTACAACAAGTCGCATAAAATGAACCTTGAGCTTTGGTTTGACACACATGATCGGCAGGGCCATGCGTGCAACGGGCCGCCACATGCTGAAGAGCACCAGCGTAAGCGGCGAGATCTACGGCATGGAGCACGTCGACGGCAGCCAATCGGACACGGCGCTCGGGAGCGGCATCAAGAAGCGGCGCTCGAGCCTCAGCCAGCGCGTCGTCGCCATCCTGCCGTCCAGACGCAGCCGGAGCACCTCGCAACTCAGCCAGACGGGTCAGAGAAACGGCAACACCAGCCGCAGCCACCTCACTCTAGGCCTCTCTAGGAATGTGGCCCGGTGTGTCCTGAACCATTTTAAGAATGTGACGATTCAAGGGGAGAGTCGGCCACTGTGACTTTGTTTCATACTAACTGCATAAGCAGTTTAAACACACCAGTATCTCTCAGCGTCACATCTTTGAAGCGGGCAATCAGGTCATGAACATAAACCAGTATTTGGAGAAACGGTCGATAAGAATTAAAAATAATTGAGAAAAACACATTTGATGCAATTTTATCAAATCCGAAACACGCTCAGAATGTAAAAACAGAGCTCAGTAACCGGGAACACATTTTACCAGTGAGGCCAGGGTCGCTGTTGCTTGATGATGTTGTTTATTGGCTTTGTTGATGTTACTGTTGTTGTTGTTTTGTGTTATTTCAGAGGCGGCGGGTAAGGCGGCAAACAGACAGAAAGGTAAAGGAATAGTTGGGCAGAGAGTCAGACTGTCAAATATAGAGACAGAAATTCGCTTTGTTTGTAAATAAACTGAGCGTGGTTTAATACATTTATTCAAAGTTAAATGTAGCATATCTGATGTATCTCTTTACAGCATCACAAAGCACTTTATTTTCACACAAATGCTTTCTCATGATGTTGGTGAGGTCACCATGGATACTGATTTGCATGGGGAGGACTGCGGTATTGATGAACCTTGTCCTATAGTTATCGGGCTACTACGCTTAAGTTAATGCAAAAACTATCCCATCGCAGCCTGAGCCTTGTGAAGGTGTGACACGAGACGACTGATAACAACAAGAAACGGTGTGCGCAAAGTTGGGTTGTTTAACAACCTCTTTTTCTGCCACAGAAGCACCGGCAGGAAAGAAGGTGGGTAAGGGCGGCAGCAGCAGCATCCAGAGGAGCGTGGAGACCGGCATGGCGGTGGAGTACCCGCGGGGAGGGTCGTCCATGAACCGACAGGCCAGCAGAGAGTCGACCGATGGCAGCATGAACAGCTACAGCTCTGAGGGGAAGTACGTACGCCGAAGCAAACTCACTGCTGTGTGGATAGACATCCAGTCCTTTGGTTTTACCGGATTGCCATCAGCAACAGCTCCACTTGGGTTACAGTGTTCATTTACAGATGTTAGCATCCTTAAATGATAAGGTTCTATGGTGAATGTGATGGATAACACTCGCATTAACCTCAGCATGTATGTTGCATTAGTATTTAGCACCCAGCATACAATGCTGTATTAATCGATCCAGTTGTTCACACACCAGCAGCAAACACATTAGCTCGACCTGAGCCTAATTTATTACACTTTAAGTCTTTTGGAAAAGTACACACGTGACTTATCCCAATGCATCACATGCAGACACTTCGCCATAACCCCTCTTCCACACAATTACTTGGAGGTACCTCTTTACTATTGTCATAATTCTCATTAAAGCACCCATTTTTCCATAGCTTGAAAATTATAGTTTGATTTGAGTGTGAATTATTCAGCATGTGCGTCTTTGCGTGTGTCAGTCTGATATTCTCAGGGATGCGGTTGGGCGCCGACAGTCAATTCAGTGACTTCCTGGACGGTTTGGGTCCCGGTCAGCTGGTTGGCCGGCAAACACTGGCCACGCCTGCTATGGGTGAGTGATGGCTTCATCTAATCAAATGCGTATATTAGTAATGCAAAAATAAAAACTACACATAAAAGTATAAGAAGTATACTTATCAGTATAAGACATATGTCTCCACTACACACAGGTGATGTTCAGATCGGCTTGATGGATAAGAAAGGCCAGCTGGAGGTGGAGGTGATCAGGGCACGAGGCCTTACCTCCAAACCAGGCTCCAAATCCCTCCCAGGTTGTTACCACACACGATGGCTAAATGTCAAACGCCGGGACAAACCCTGACAAAGCTTCTACCTTCTGTCCTCCCTCTTTACTCACTTTGCTCTCCCTCTAAACCCGTCCCCACACCCCCAGCTCCCTACGTCAAGGTGTACCTGCTGGATACTGGAACTTGTAAAGCCAAAAAGAAAACCAAGATTGCACGAAAGACCCTGGAGCCACTCTACCAGCAGCACCTGCTCTTCGAGGAGAGTCCCCAGGGCAAGGTGCTTCAGGTAATCTTCTGTGTGCGTCTCCACCAACCATTGCTCCCTCTGTTATCACAGTTCCCCTAAAAAGATTTTAGGTAATTGCCAAAGAGCTAAGAGTATGATCTAAACTGCTGTGAAAGGTGAATTTAAAGGGCCTTTTGGAAGAACTTTGTGCCATCTAGTAGTGAGGTTGCAGATTGTAACTAAAATAATTCCACATTTCCAAGGATGTTGGAGAACTATAGTGGCCTTAAGGCAGTGGTCCCCAAACTGGGGGTTGATAGGGTGGTTGTGGCTTAAGCCTAGTTTATGGTTGTGTGTTTTCAGAGAGACGCAAGGACACGCGCAAGAGCCCCTTGCGTGCGTCGACCAATTGTTCTAGACGTCAAAAGCTACGCAAGCCTCACGCAGCCCGCAAGGCTGTGATTGGTCTGCTAACTACATCCTCACATTTCCGGTTTCATAGCACAATATCCCTATTTTTAAAAGGAAGATTGAATCAGATTGAAGAGCTTGTCGTCGAAAGAAATATGACTACTTCTACAAGCCGCGCGAATGGCTTCCGATTCATGCAGGGAGATCTCCGCAAACGTCGGAGTAAATAAACAAACCAACAACTTCCACACACAAAGACGTCACTCTCTAGGTCGTCTTTGTGTTCTGGCAGTGAATTGCTTTGCAACACGTGCAAACCTTTTAGAACCATGAATTGAAACGAGTTGCAGAAGCATGCCAGCGGAAAAGGGTTTAAATAGCCTTACTTGTCTCTTCCATTCTCTCCCCTAGGTGATAGTATGGGGTGACTACGGAAGATTGGACCACAAATGCTTCATGGGCGTAGCACAGATCTTATTGGAGGAGCTGGACCTCTCAAGCACGGTGATTGGCTGGTACAAACTGTTTCCACCGTCCTCATTGGTGGACCCTACGTTAGCGCCGCTGACGCGGCTGGCGTCTCAGACGTCACTGGACAGCTCAGGACCGCCACCGGGCGTTCGGTCCTAGTGACCGAGTCTCGCCCGGACCCCCCACCCCGTTCAATTGCTCTTAAATGACAAAGTAATGGACCACAGTTACTGGACTGGGACTGAGCAGAGGGAGAGGACGACGGTCGTCAACCAATGGAAAAGCCAGATGGAGTAACCGAGAGAGAGAGAGAGAGAACTAGCCAATCAATGCCTAGCCGGAGTCCGACAATCAGGTCTCACACCGTCCCTCTTTCCTCGTCCGGATTTCTCTTTGTTCTTTTAAGCTTTGCTTTATTTGTTTCTGTACTCTGCAGCTGGAGAATCCTGTCCCATATTTCTCAACTCTCGCTGAGGTTTTTCTCCCTTTTTGAAGGTGCAGCTCCGATCGGAGCCAGAGATGCACCAATCGCACTCCCCCCCGATACCGACAGCAATACCCGCGCTTGAGAAATGGTTGATGTGGAGTTGCGACCAGCTACCGGTGTTCAATTAATAAACTGTAAATCTCACAATTTAATGGAGCAACAAATTGGTCAAAACTTGAACCGGAAATGAAATTGTAGTCTGTAAGGTTTAGCATACAAACAGAACTAAATTGAATAGATCTGCCACTTTGACAGATTAATGATCCAACTCCGTTGTCAGTACCATATCGTTAACGGTGCGTCCACAATCCGAACACCCCCCCCCCGAAAATATTGTCCTCCAGCCGTTCAGAGTAACAAGGTGCAAGACCGAGCAAGTAGCAAACCGAGGCGGCTTCACTCAGCCGTGCCGTCACGCGGATTGGTGGTTGTTTCTGCCGGCGTTGCCATGGTGACCAGGCATATGCGGTCGGGTTTGCGCTTTTTATGAAAGGAGTCTGCACGCTCATTGTTAGCCTTGGTTTGATGGATGAAAGCAAGCACAAGGAAAGCTTGAATCTTTAATTCGAACCGGGAGGAAACAAACTAGATGCCAAATTGACTTTCATTTTTACTTTGTTTATTTCTTAGAGTTCAAAAATAATACGAGGCGCAGACTCAGTCTGTGTATGTTTGTATCGAGCAATGATGCGCCATTCGCACAAAACCTTTGCTCCACCCCCCCAGGAGGGAGCAGCAGCATGACTCGGGGGGGCCCCGTCCACAGCCCGGCCCAAAGCCACATGCATGTTTCTTTCATTCGGTTTGTTTTCTACTTTTTTTAAAATGTAAAATAAAAAAGACGAGACAAATGAACGAATGACCTAAAAAAATAAAATAAAAAAGGACTAGACCGTGTGTGTGTTAGTCCCACATACTTTTAGGCCAGCTTGTATGTTGCATGTTCTTGTACAGTTTGCTCGTACTGAATATGAAAACAAACCCGAGAAAAGCCAAGCCCCCCCCCCGACAGGAGCGAACCAATAGAGGGGGGAACGGGGTCCAAACTCCTCCCAGGCCATTCCTTCCACTCTGGGTCTAAATATCCTTGTTAGGAAGTCTCTGGAACAAAAATGAAATTCTTTTTTTGACAAACAGTGCTGTGCTGTAGTACTGGAGCCCCCCGGTTGATCATTGAGGGTGTCTAAACCGTAGTCGGGGCTAGAGGCAGATAGAGAATGTGTGTATAACAGCTAAATGTATATGAAGTATAATGAGTTGACAGAAGTTATATAGATATATGAACATAAAGAGTATCAAAGCGTACATGCGTCACGCACACCTTGTACATACAAATCAGGACAAGCGGCTTGAACTCGAGTTATAAACAAAACATCGCTGACACACAAACATTCCTGGTCTCGTCGAGGGGAATTTGCGTCCTGTGGATGTGCTCGAGCTGCTGAGCGGCACCGGGCCACAAGGGGGCGCTCAACAGGCCGTTATTTTCTTTTGCCAAAAAAAAAAAACAGCCAAACCAATTAGAACTAACTTTTCTTCTCGTTAATCCCCGTCTATCAATGTACGCTTGGACTTTTAACGCCAACGAGAAATCTGACCTTTTCGGACATAGTTTCTGTTGAAAAGCCCTCGGCGGCGCGGCCGACCGCCCTTTCCTTTGTCAGTATTACTCCAGGAATACTGATTGTTTACAGCCCATGGCTCCCCGCCCACTCCCTAACCACGATTTTAGATGAAAGACTAAAGTATTCACTGCAACAGTTCTTGTTTGTACAACAGATGTGGCTCTACCGATGTGTATGTTTTATATTCAAGAGTTCATTTTTATTATTTACAAATAAAAGACCGTGGAAGAAGATCATGGTTTTGTTTTTTGGAACAGACTGGTCTCAAATTATTGTAAATGTAATTTGTCTATTTGATCGTTGCACATACTCAACACTGCCTTGTACAATTATTAAACCTACACTAAAAAGGTAAAACTGGTAAAGAGAAATGAAAAATACTACGAAGCCGCTCAACACCTGGAAGAACCTCATGGGTTAAAATCTGGCCTTTGTTAATGCTTTTTTTGTAAACAGCTTTTGGACATATACTTGTTTAAACGTGATATTGGTACGACTTGCTAATGGCCAGACACAAATAATATACACGTTCCACTGGCACCATAGTAATCAACCAGCTGGAAGATGTACACTCCTGCCTGGACAACGAGGTCGGTTCATGTAGTGACGCTTAAGCCTCAGAGTTTTTTCTGGTGTGTTTGTGTCCGTGTGTCGTACCTGAGGAGTAGTGAGAGGGATGAAGCTGATGGAACCCTGGGGTCGACCATGGCGCACGGCGACCATGGCGCATGGAGCAGAGAGGGTGCTCCTAACTCTAGCCGCCAGGAACTGCAAGGTTGGGGGTTTGAGTCCCAGCTGCTCCATGTCCCATGTTGAAGTGTCCCTGAGCAAGACATTGCTCCCCGGGCAAAAATGCAATGCAAGTCGCCTTGGATAAAAAGTGTCAGCTAAATGACCTATAATGTAATAATGGAACAGAAGACAGAGAGGGAGCATGTCAATAACTGACGGTTTGATAGTTCCAAGACCTGCAAACTAAAAGGAAGGCGACCAATCCAGGGTGTACCCAGTCTCTCGCCCGAAGTCGGCTGGGATGGACTCCCGCGACCCTGAGTGCACGATAAGCGGTTTGACGATGGATGGACATGCATTGCAGCCATATGTAGCTGGTTTAGCTTATACGGTTTACTAATAGTATTCCAAAATGAGTATGGGACAGTATAGGGGAAACCTCTAACCAACCTCTAAGTGGAAAGGTTGTGTAGTGGACAAATACACTACAACTTTGAGATTTTTGAATTACTTAAATTAATTTAGACTTGATTGTGGTGCTGGATGAAGCTGTCAGTTATCAAGACACTCACTAAAAAGAACAAAGTCGGAATTGATCTCTTGGAACAATGAACGTCTACAAAATTCCATGGTAATAGTTGTGATGAAATAGTCAGTGTGGATAAAACCCGCCGCCTATAGCGCCAAACCGCTACATTGAACTTCATTTTGACATGAGTGATTACTGATCCAGCACAAACAGTTGCAGTTTTACTATAAGTGAATACCGAGTGCAGGACACACAGAGTGTGTCTTATGTATGCTTGGTCTTACCAGTGTGTCCAGTCCCAACAGAATGAGCAGGATGAAGACGCAGGCGGCCCCCTGCTGAGGGAGGAGCATCATGCCAACAGCCAGAGGACAATGAACGCACGCCGGAGCTTGGGAAGACAGAAGAAATATTGAAATGGTCTCCTGTTAGATTGTTGTACTTTTCCAGGAGAAGTGCCAGGTTGTATTTGATTGTGTCTGAAGAAGACTGAGGCTGTTTAAACCCCAACCTGAATCAACCACATCGTCGAAGGGAACTCCCTCTTTGTCGGCCTTTAAGCCCAGCTGATGGAGCTTGTGCGATTATTGAGCGCGCGCGCACACACACACACACACACACACACACACACACACACACACACACACACACACACACACACACACACACACACACACACACACACACACACACACACACACACACACACCAGAACTGAATGGGGTAATGTGCTTATATTATTGCAGGACAGAGACTTTTAGAAATTAGGTTCTCAAAACTAGAAATGTCCTTTTCTGACATTTGAATTTATCTGACATGCAAAGTAGAGCTCGGAAAGTAGGCAGGGTTTGTACCGCTCTTGCTTTTACATTCTTGCCCGGGGAGCAATTTGGGGTTAGGGGTCTTGCTCAGAGACACTTTGACATGGAGCAGCCAGGGATTGAACCACCCGGCGCACCCACTCTACCCCCGATGAACGTGTAAAAGTCACCCATTTGATTGTCTGTATCGTATCACTGTGAAATTCAGGTGGCTGCCACACTCACACGGTCACAAACTTTACCTCTCAGCCAGACTAGCCACTCTTGAGCTGCTGTTAAATTCACCAGGCGAGAAGGATCTGGATTCAGGTAGTAGACCAACGCCACATAGGGGAACACCGCCGTGAAATACACCACCTGGAAATTTCAAAAGCAGCAAATTTACAAACAGCCGTTTAGTCTATACACCGTACTCGTCAGAAGACACAGCTTCTCATTCAATGAGAAAGTGGTTCCAAACCTTTGACTGGTACAATGTACAATGATTGCATTTAATGGTGTGTGTGGGGGATTATAATATATTTATATATATTTTTTATGGCCAGTGTTGGGTGTTTCCTGGTTCCATCAGTTGCAATTTTGTAGTTAGTTTGACCCTTAACTTTAATCTCAAAAGATTATTTTGTTTGTGTTACACACTAAATTGATTATGAAACACATTCAAAAACTAAAAATCTGCATTATTCCCCTAAAGCACTGTCAACAACGATAATAATAATGGAGATGTTCGTACGTCATAATCTTGTGGTGCCAAAGTTGGTTCTTAAATCTGAACCAGTCTTCATTTCACTTGTTTTTCTACGATAAACCTCAAAGTCACTGCTTGAATAGAAATTTAGGAAATAAAGAAACTATTTAGACTATTTGGTTTTTACAGTTGCTTTATGTTAAATTGTTATAATATCATGGTTTGAAAAAATATAGTAAAGAAAATAGGTTCATGGTGTCTTAAGGAGTTCCTCTTTCTGAAGTTAAATGTGACGTAATACGCAATAGAGACCAGCAGAATCAGTCTGTTCACGTCCACGCAAGGGCGTTTTTCCTGCGTGTTTCCGCGTTTGTTTTACCGTTTAAACGAAACATGGAAGTATTCTTTTTTTTTGCTTCTAGCGGCTGTTTTCCCGTTTTCGAAAAACACGTTTTTATACTTACGACGGCAAAAACGCACTTGCGTTCTCTGGAGAAATGACTCTGTATGAACGAACCACGAGGCCCTGAACGCCTCCACGGGAAAACACACAGAAAACAAGCCAGACTTTCAAACCTCGCACGAAGCTCGCGTCTCTTCGGTCTCTGTGAGGCTTCGGTTGCTGTTTGGAAAGCAACAAATCTTCAGCGGAAGCGACAATCTTTGTGGAACTCACCGGGGAAAAGAGTTTCTGGATTGTTTTGAGGCTCTGCTCGCGTTGACACGATGAGCTTCGCTAATTACTGCACCTGAAGATGAAACCATGGCAACCGCGGACGCCTTCAGGTTCGCTTTGCCGCGAGCGTTCATACCTGTGACGTCACTTCATCCCCTCACTGTGCACAAGGCTGCATGCGACTGAAACAAACGAGAAGCTACTTTATTACGTGCAGACATCTAAAACAAGTCACATTTGTAATTTCAAAATGAAAATGTTTCCAAAGGGAGTAACATTCTTTTCACTGTTTATATATTATCTACCGAATTTTGATAAGTATTTAAATATAAGTAGTCATCCAACTTGTCACATCAACGTGGCATGCAAATTAAACTTATTTTTATTCATTTCATTTGAATCATTTGTTAAAAGTTACATATTGCACCATAATCATGCCGTGTGCGAAATTAATTTATATTTATGAATTACATTAAAAACAAGTGTCCCACATTACCTCAACATGTCTTTGCACTGTGCGTGTTTTTCTGGGTTTGAGGGCAAATAATAAAGAAGCCACCACATAAAGTAGGCAGTGCGCTCTGAACTGGATGAGAAAGCCACTGAGGGAGCAGGTACATAAACATGCGGAGAGGAAGAAGCGCTCCTCTTCCTGTCTCAACATGAAACTGAAATGAAAGTTAACGCGTGATCGAAGACTTAAAGTAACATTGCTGGTATTAACGCATCTTTTAGTCTAATCAAATGAAAACATACTATTTGGTAAGCTTTTAGTATCAGGTTTCTACGCTTTCCTCTGATGGTAAAGAACCTTTTGGAGCAGTAGAACAGCAACGGTCAGTTCATTTAAAGTGTCGTACACATTACAGCCCACATCAAACATGAATTGGATACTCTTTGTATCAATCCTGACCCCTTTTGAAAGCATACCACAAGTTTTTAAGACTTTGCAGTTCTTGACGATGCATTGCCATCTACAGTATAAGTCACAACACATGGGGTAAAAACACTGAACCTTTATTGACAGCAGCAGGTATACTTTTGTAGATATATCTGATTATTGTGAATGTTTGCTGAAGCAGATTAAAAAAGGAGGTCTAGGTGTGAGTGCCTAGCATTCATAAAAACACAACGTTACACTAAAAACAATGTATAAAAACAAGTTCATAAACAAAGGCCATTTGATTAGATAATGTAAAAAAAAAAAAAATCATAAACAGTTAAGATAATCCTTCATTTACCAGGCACTTAAATGAATACTGGTGACCGGCAGTCACTCTTTTGACCTCCTCTGTACATGAAAGCATATTCAGCCGGTTCAGACTGAACGCACGTCGAGATGAGAATGAATATGGAGCATCAGAGAAGTACCTTTACTTTTATGTTATGTATAAAAAAAAACACACAAAAAGAAACACAGGACCTTCATCTTAAATAAACAGGCGCCTGTAAGTTCTACTACACAACATGATAGAGATAAAGAGGGATATTTTTTAAGTGAAGTTAGTGCATGGCTTCTACATTATGTACACATTGCCTGGCGTGATGGTCCACTTTGCAAAATTGCACAAAAAAGTTGGACCTGGGAGGAAAACTGATGGGACATCTGACGAAATGATGTCGCTTGTAATCGGCTGCAGGCCTGCAACATGATAACGCGGTACGACGGGTGTTCTTACCCACAGGCCGCGAAAAACAAGCACCTAAAAGGTTATTACAACCAAACACACTTGTAAAAACGTACAAAGCCCACACTGGAACAATTACCTAGTAAATATATTCCTTGGCTATAAACTTGATCTTTTTTTCACGTTCCTGAAGTGTTACCATAACACAGATTACTTTTTCCACAAGTTCCAAATCGCAAAGCGTAACAGACGAACCTTCATGCAAACCCGATTCCGTTTCTTTGAACGTGCACTGCAGCGTGGGAACCGTCCAGCGCACACCAGTTTGAACCGTCTCAGTCAGTCCGGAGGGGTTGAAGCTTCAGCGCTCCACTGAAGGTACATCAGGTCCCACTTTCCCTTCGGTATTCTTTCAGGCTTGACGGAGCGCTGAACCTACATTAAGTTTTTTTTCCTAAACCTCCGACCAATAATTGATCCGCACAAGTCCGAGCACTGTAACAAACTACAAAGAAGACGGAGGTCTGGGTGAGTGTGTGTAGTGTGTGTGTGTGTGTGTGTGTGTGTAGGGCTGGAGGCACGGAGGTTGTGAGGCTCTGTCAAACAGGATGTTCTGTGACAGGGCGGCGGGGTCACAGTGGAACCACAGACGGGGACCCTCAGGGTCCTCCATGCTGCGGCGAAGGCAAACGTAAAGTCCTGGCACTGCTCACAAGAAAGCATCCACACAAACGTGAGTGTGTTTTCCCCGAGCGCACCAAAGAAGTCTTATCCACACACACACACACACACACACACACACACTTTGAAATGCATATAAGAAAAGTGTCCTCCTCAACCCTCTTCCCTGAAATGTTTGAGACTAATAATCCAGCATTCCTGTCTTTGTTTTGGAGGAAGGGGGTTGGTCAAAGTTCTGCCCTGATGCGGGGGGGAGGAGGGGTGATGCTTGTCTCAGACCTTGCTGTCAGAGGGCAGGTCTCCCAGGGCGTGGACGATTTCAGTGAAGGAGGGGCGCTCTTTGAGGCTTATCGCCCAGCAGCGGACCATGAGCTTGTAGATCTTGGAGGGGCATCCATCTGGAACTGGGAGCTTCAGCTTCCCGGCCTGCAGACCTGGAGGGACGGAGGACCGGCAGAGAGAAGGAGTTGAGACCCAATCAGAAACGCACATTCACCCCACACACGAGTTACAATTACTGTCCGTTGACACTAAAACATAAACGCATCCTACGGACCTTCCAGCACTTCGTCGTCGCTGAGTTTGGGATAAGGCATCTCCCCGAGACTGAACACTTCCCACATCAAGACGCCAAAGGCCCAGACATCAGACTTGGTGGAGAAGTCGTCCTCGAACACAGACTCTGATGGGAGCCAGCGCAGCGGGATCCACGCCTGTCTGTAGTGGTAGTACTCGCTACATACACGTCCACAAGAGAAGCGACAAGAAGGAAACAACAGGTCAGCCAGAGGAACAGGGCTTCACCTTCTTTTTATTTCATTATTTAAGTGGGGGATTATGTTGATAATCATCCCAACGGACCCGTTGTAGACGTCCTTGCTGAGGCTGAGCGACGACACTTTAACGCGCCTCTGACTGTTGATCAGGCAGTTTCGGGCAGCGAGGTCTTTGTGCACGAAGCGGTGGTTGGACAGGTGCTCCATCCCATGAGCCACCTGGGCACAGATGGAAACCTGCACAGGGAAGAAGAACAGTTTAGGTGAGATGACGTTGAGATCGCGTTTACAACGAGTCCTCCTGGTTTGCAGTCCACTGACGAAGACATTCTCCAACACAAGAGATAAAACCATGACTTCCAATCGGAAGATCAAACGCGTTATTGTGCATTAATCCGCTCATTTGAGGTTAGCTGCTTCAGTTATAGTCTTGATACATATTCTAATCATTCTCTCGTTCTTAGAATATAGATAACGGCACACGTGTTTCTACTGAACCAGCTTAGCAAGGAGCCAACCGCCTCCCGGGGGTCGCTTCAGATTTAGTGCAGATTGACCTACTTAGAGTGTTTCTACACTTACTTTGGTCTTGGTGCTGATAGGCTGAGATTTCACCTTGTCGTCTTTGCTTTTGGAGATCCTCAGGAACTGCTTTAGGTCTCCCTGGTGTAATAGAAAGAAAACACACGATGCATGAATCGGACTCTTATTTATGATTATTGTTTTGCGAGAGTGCGCACGCTTCTACGTGTGTGCGCCTACCAGGTCGTAGTACTCGAGGATCATGTAGTGGGGCTCGGCCTCCCGACACAGGCCCAGCAGGCGGACGACGTTGGGGTGGCTGAGCTTCGCAAACATTTCGGCCTCGCGGCGGAAGTCCAGCTGGAGCTGCTCGTCTCTGGCTTGCAGGCTCTTCACCAGCACCACCGTCTCCTCCTCGCTCTCCTCGATACCCTTGGCTTTGCACAGCAGCACCTCACCAAACTCCCCCTTGCCTGCGCACACAATCACAAAGAGTCGATGTCAGAGCACATCTCGTTTTGTTTTGTCGAGTTACCTAAAAAGCTGCAGCGGAGAGATGAGGTGAGTAATAATTCAGAGCACAAAGACGTTCATCATCAGTTAATGTTTGCAAAACAGGATTGTTTAAATCAATCTACCCAAAGTGGTGATGGTTTGTAGGTTTGCTCGAGGGAAGTGGAGCTTATCGTTGTTGACGTGGCTGTGGCGCTTCTCGGCCGTTGCCATGGTACCCATATTGGTGAGGGCCACCTCTTCTTGGATCTCAGTGGTGGTGGTGTGGCCGTTTTGTTGGACAGTTCCTCCTGATAAACAAAATCCCACAGCGTCATACCAACCTCAATAGGCATTGAAACTAATAGTAAATGTGATATGGGTCCAAACAGAATATTGTCTTCATCATTTTCTTGTGAAAACCAACGTGTTGCTCTAATCAGCAAGATCTGAGATCTTCAATATTTAGTTAGTTTTTTCACAGCTTGAAGCAGCGGATACATTTCTTTGAGCATTGGCCAACTCACAATGACCTTTTTTGTATACATATTAGCATAATTCATTGTGTGACTATTCCAGTGTTCGGAACTGGGGCAGAGCTTTGCATTGTCTAAGTAATATTACCTGCAATACCCGAGATGAGCACAGGGTGGCAGCAAATACCCAAAAACCTTTCAACATCCCTTTGAGGACCATGAACATCAACCACTCACATAATCCTGGCTGACTTTACGAGTTCCTCACCACAACCTGTAAAAGCCGTCTCCACAGAACATGCATACCGTTCAGACACTCCATCTCGGGCTCCTCCCCGTCCTGTCCCTTCTGCAGCCTCTTAGCGTTGCGTCTCTTTTTGCAGTAGAACATGAGTCCGAGCACAACGATGATGTAAGCCACGGCCGCTCCCACTGACAGGCCAATGGTTTGGATCATCTTGTAGGGAGCCTTGTCAACGTCATCGTCGAAGGAGTGCATTGGTTTTTCTGTTGGGCACCAGCATCAAATGTGGTTAACTGGGTTGGATCTTCACTGCACATTGTTCCAAGAGTAGATGAGTGTGAATGGAAATACATTCCGCAATCGCACACAAACAACTACAGGAGAATAAATGCAAACCGTTTGGTACGTTTTTTCTGGAATAAAAGGGTACTTTTTGAAACATTGGCACGTCATTTAACAAGTTACCGGGAAGCTTTGTCGGACGCCAAGCCTGAAATGCGTCTCTCACGTTGAACTAACCGGGGCGCGCCCCCCCTTGCTGCTTTGGCAGACAGCGAGTCGATGTGGGTAACTAACCCGAGAGGTGTGACTGTGGCTCTCAGACAGCGCGAAGCCTCGTTAGGCCTCACGTCGGCCCAATCCCATCACCTCAGTGACGCTGTGGCCGTGGTTATTAGCCTGTCGACATGGATGATAGGCAGTGGCTGAAGGTTTAATTAATGCCTTCATCCTCAGCTACGGTTTGGGGCGTTCGCTTCCAGTCTGCGAACGTCACGGACGAAAGGCCGCTGTGTACACACGTTTGTGCGCTTGCGTGTGTAGTAAACTCACCCACTACGTACAACTTGGCCACGCGGTCTTTGATGCTGCAGCTGTTGCCGGCCACACACGTGTACCTGCCCGTGTCATCTGTAGTAACATCAGAAATCACCAGGGAGCCATTGGGCATCTTCTGGAACCTGGGAGGTTTATAACAGAGTCAAATTCACAAGCATTAACATGTTTGTTTTCACAACACAAGTCATTCAAGTTTACTTTTCACACGGACACGTGCAAGAAAACACACACACACACACACACACACACACACACACACACACACACACACACACACACACACACACACACACACACACACACACACACACACACATACACACACACACACACACACACACAGTTTACAACTTCTCTGTGTGTGTGTGAGGGGAAACTCTGCATCGGTTCATGACTCATCTTCTGGAGACTGTGACGAGTTCATCTTGAATCCCTCTGATGTGCCACAGGTTCCTGCACGAGTCCCATAGTACTCAGATGTGTATGGCATAATCGCCCGAGCCTTTCAGAAGTCTTATCACGTCTTTCATAAATAGACGGACCTGTTAATGTAATCACAAACTCATCCAAATGTGTCCTTTACCTGCGGTTCCTGCTGATGTCCAGCGTCTTGTCCTTGGCCATCCAGTGGATGTGAGGTTGGGGGTCGCCGGTGGCCTGACAGTGCAGGACGGCTGTGTAACCTTGGTACACCGTTGTGTTCTCTGGTTCCACCTTAAAGCGGATGTACACTACATGTGCACAAACACACACACACACACACACACACACACACACACACACACACACACATTAACCCAAATCTCACTGTGGTTAAAATGTCAGTTAAGCTGACAAATGAATTTCATTACTTTTATTTTACATTAAGGCCAGCGAGTGCACATCAAATGCTCCTGGGCTTCGCCGCATGAAAATGGTTCGGTGGCTCGTATATAAACCGTATATATGTGGGAGTAACGGCTAAGATGGCAGCGGGGGGCTTACCGGCCACAATGAGGGTCACCAGGGCTCGGATCTCCCCCTGCAGGCTGTTGGAGGCGATGCAGGTGTAGTTACCGGCGTCGCTGCGGGTGACTTTGGTAAAGGTGAGCTGGCCGTTCCTTTGCTTCACCCGGGGCGGCAGCTCTCCTCCATCTGCAGGAGGAGACGGGGGGGGTTAGAACGAGCCCGCCGCTGCATGTGGAATTCAAATATTCAAAAAGGGGGAGGGTACTGCAGCATTTTATTAAATATTTTGACAAAGCGTCAACAGTCATCGGCGCCAACGGCGTGCACACCTGCTTTGGTCCAGCGGATGGTCGGGGGCTCTCTGCCTTTAGCGGAGCACTGAATGGTGATCTCCTTGTCCAACTCCAGGCACTGAGAAGGCTGGGGGGTCGGGGTGAACTTCAGCTTCTCTGGAACACGAGCACACGCACATTACACACATGGAGAACATGGTCGGGGTGAGGGGGGGGGGGGTTGTGCAACTCGCACTGCAGATAAATGACGCTAGCCTGACGCTAGTTCAGGCACGCACAACAAAGCGGCTTCACGGATCCGTCGAGTGTAAAAGACAGAGTTTATCAGAAGCTGAGATCATATAAACAGAGATTGGCCAGACAAAACAGCGACATGTCAGGCCATCCATCACGCTAATCCCGTAGCAGCGAGAGGAGTTTAACACGGAGATAAATGTGTTAAAATGGAGGCTGGGATAAAGCTGCCGCGCCTTCGTCATATTTGACACCTCTGTGGGTGTTCTGCAGCACGCTCAGCGACACAACATGAACAAGCTCTTCCTATTTAAGGGAACACACACATTCACAGGCCCACACAGCACGAGCACATTGTATTTGATCAACATATACCCAATATTACCCGTTAGGATTTCTCTTATTACTCAGGGGAATAACTTGCCTTATTGGCTCAGTGCATCTCGGGGCAGGACAGCGTACTGTACATATTATGTAATTCCCTCACTGCTTACCCAGTACAGTAACTCTAGCTTGCCCATTCAGTCGGCCGCCTACAGTCCTGGTTTCACAGCCGTAAATCTGTCCGTCGTACACCTCCACATTGTTGATCCGGAGGGTGCCGTTAGCGAACAGCTTGAATCGAGAGTCCTGGAGGAAAAAAAAGAGGGGGAGATTTTAGTAAGTTACAAATGTCATCTGCCGGGTGTAGATGGATTCACGTCAGAGAAGGTTTGTGTCTTTGGTAACCGACCTCTGGCGTGAGCACAACGTTGTTGCGCATCCACGTGACCTCCGGTTCGGGGTTGGCCTGGGCTTGACAGTGGAGGAAACCTGGTTTACCCTCCTCGAGGTGACTGTCCTGAGGCTTCGTCACCCACACCGGGGCGGCTGTGATCACACACAGAGTATTTTATACGTATTGAATAAGCATAGACATTTTACAGAATGTCAAAAATCGCTGATCAGATGCCTTGAAGGACTGGATTGTTTTATAGATAGATTTGTATGTTTTTTGTTCTACTTTATACTTTATCTCTTCTATTTTGTATCTGTATTACTTCTCTATTTATTGCTCGTGTTCTGTATTTGTGCTGCAATAACATCTGGGGATCAATAAAGACTGATTGTATCTTAAAGAGCTTAGCCATCGGTCATGACCTAGACACAGACACCATTAATCCCTTTTGTGTCAGTTTTCCCTGCATGCTGCCGACGTTAAAGAACAGGACTTCTTGTTAATGAAACGACGACCTGTGGCGATAGTTGACCCTTATATGCTTGCGCGTGTTCAGTTTCAGTTAAAAAAACAAATATATATCTTTTTAACACTTTTTGAGTAGCGAACTTGACATTAAAGACTGACAACATAATGACAGAATCCCACGTAAATAAACATTTTAGTTTGTGATGGGTGAACTGGACTCAATGCCGAGGTGTCCCACTAAAGCTGCCTGAGTGTGACTCACTGGCCACGGTGAAGGTGACCTCCTGGGTCCTGCGTCCCGCCCTGTTCTGGGCCACGCAGGTGTAGATGCCAGAGTCTCCCTCCTGCGTGGGACTGAAAACCAGGTCCAGGCCGTCCTGGTGCACCCGGCCCTCCGTGGACACCCGCTGACCTCCTCTCTCCCACCAGACCTCGGGCTCAGGTCTGCCACGTGGGGGCCGACAGGCCACCCGCTGCAGGGTGTCCGCGGTGAAAACCTTCGACATCTTGGGCACCATGTCCTCGATCTCTGTGGTTGGAAAGCGAGGATCTTCAGCACAATGTGGAAAGTTCCGCTCACACGAGGCCCCTCGTGATCACACATCCGCCCTAGAAGACGCTGAAGCGTTACGCATTCCGAAGTCCAGTACCGGCCCCCGAGCACACTTGATTCCCCAAATACAGTTGTGTTAATAAACATCCTGCCTTTTTAGTAAAAGTCCTCTGATTTGTAGCTCACAGTAATCAGAGAACAAAGCCCACAGTGGGCCGACTTTTGAGGTGGGTCATATCAAAACTGGCAGCCCCCATGCAGAGAGGGGAATGTGATCTGTGGCACAAAGACTCACAGGACCTCCCACTACTGTGCGGTTTAATACTGTGTGTTCCAAATGGAAGTCATTAATACCGTGTTGGCCGACAACGCACTGAAAGCTGGTCAGTGGCTGCGACCTTCGTGAGTGAGATCTAAATCAATTAATGGGAACAGAAGAAAACACACATTTCTCAGTGGATGAAAGGGAAGTGGAGCAGGCTGGAGGCGGCTGGGAGAAACAAATTAGGTTGCCCTACGATGGAGTGACTGTTTAAACTTGCCCCCGAATACCGAATTCTACTGTGACACAATCCCCTATAATGCCTGCAGGGATTACCATCAGATTAAGTGAATGAGGGTATTTAAATGAAGCTGCGGTTCACTGGGTTAAAACTGCAGATACAGTTGTACCTCCTAAATCCGAAACCCTCGGGGAAAGAGGAATGATCGAGGGGCATTAAGTGTTCCCAACTCTCTGAAACGCATAGAAATTCCAACCGTAAGCTTTTGCAAAAAAAGGTTTAACTTGCATGCACTTGCAATTCCAAATGCAGGCTGATTAGTAAAACGAGATGATGCTACAGAGCGCTCGGGCATAAAGCAGGAACAACCATTAAATCCCTTTTTCTTTCTTTAGGTAAACTGACTTGAGTAATGGTTACAGGGAAACAGCAGCGTTATGTGGAATATTGTTTTTCCTACATAAATGAACCTCATCTTTCTACACAACCACAAGTCGTTTCTTAGCAGTGAATCTCTATTGGTGTTGGTTGAACATCACGGGAGCAAATCTAACACCATTTCCCAAACTCATAGTCACACAGCAGTTTGAGTCACACTCAGTGTGTTTACATGGTGGTATAATTTGAATCTTTGCTTAGTAGGACTATGCTGTCTTTCGGGGGGAGGTGCTATTATCCCAATATACATGGCAGTAAATAAATCGAATCATTAGCCGAAAGCATGTCATATCCGATACGATAGGTGGCGCTGTTTTCATTACAACTAGTTGTGATACAGCCATTTCCGCTTGACCGCTTCACCACTACCAACAACAACCAACAACAACCAACAACAACATCAACATTATGAGAAAGATGGCGAACGGAGAGCAAGGTGAAGCTACATCCCTCTACTCTCTGTGCATGATGTTAATAGGAGCACAGCGAATGCGAATGGCGCTATTGGCTGATTTGATAACGGAGAGAAGACGCCGTCGGGATCTCAAGCACGCGCAAAGACGCAAAGTCCAGTTCCTCATCCGATTCACCGTCACATGCCGCAATAGTCGAACTATCAAATGGATCGGATGGAGTTATCCAGGGGTGTTAGTCGGATCGTAGTCGGACCGCACATAGTCGGACAAAGGTGTTTACATGAAACGGATAATTCGATTTCAGTCCGACTAAGCCAGTTGTTCGAATCCATGTAACCACGCTGACTGGTGCCCCGTCCAATGTCGCCCTCGCTGTCCGCTCGGCCACGTGCTGTCACACTTGGGAGAAGCTTGTTGAGCTAAACAACGGCTGCACTGGAGGAGGAAATAATATGAAGGGGAAGCAGGAAAGCGCTCCGCCGGCGTGCGTGTGTGTGGTGGAATACAGCTGGGCCGGATGTCAATAAGGGAATGAGATTATCATCGGAGAGATCTGGCTCTAAGTGGGAGAAGGGAAGGTAGAGCGGGGAAAAATATGTAATCCAAATGCTCACAGGTGTTTATCTTTCACCAGTCAAACAGTTGCAAATATGTGTGTGTGTGTGTGTGTGTGTGTGTGTGTGTGTGTGTGTGCATACCAGCTATGAGGAGGGAGGCCTTCAGGGTGACAGAGGACCCTGTGAGGCCACGGCCGACACACCTGTAGGTCCCCGTGTTCCTGGGCTTGACCTGGGTGATCTGCAGGGTGCCGTTTTGTAGCACGAACAGACTGTGGAGAAGAGACAATCGTTCATACAGTCTCACCGTCGCTTTACGACAAAGAAAGACGCGATCTCAGAGGGTTTGTACACGGAAGCAACCAATGGTTATTAACAGCAGCACATTTCACAGGATTGCCTCCTGCACACCGGATCTCGTTCAGATGGCATCTGAAAAATAAGTCGCGGCGTTGGTTTGGCCCGCCTGGAGCACCAGATGGAGACGCTCCGGCACACGCAAGTGCCAGAATAAGAAGAGTACTTTAGCGTAGTCCTACTTTTCTTGTTATGACAATCTGCCGCCGCAAAAGGGTTAAAGCAAATACCGAATACGGGTCGGAATTTAATTGTAAAAGGGCTTTTTTTTTTAAAGAGCAGAACTGACGGCGGCTCCCCCTCTCCTCCGGCCTGTGGCAGGCTAAGGGAGTACCAGTGCCAGTGATGGACGGGATGAGAAGTAATTAAAGGCGGCCCTCAGGCCGACTTCGGGACAGAGATAAGGAGCTGCACCTCCCACACAGCGGAGCGGACGACGCAACGGCTCATCGCGGCTACGAGGCGCCGCCAGTATGACCGCGTGGGAAAAGGGGAAACGTAAAACAGAGGGGAATCGTGCCGCTGAATACAGTCAAGATACGGTCTTATTCCAGAGAAGTGTTTTCCAAAAGCAGGATCCATCCAGGACTTTTCCCCCCCGGAGGGCTGATACTTCTGTGTCGCCGCTCCTCCTCTTCTTCTAGGCAGCGGGGGGGAATTGAGCTTTGGGAGCTTGAGTGGGAGTCTGTACCTCCCGCTGAGAACAAAAGGCAGCGTTTTTCTCTTTAAAAGCTACACACTCAGACAGAATAGGCTGATCTTTGTTTTCCCCTCCTGAGTTTGTTCGACCCATGAGGCAGAATTCTCTCTGTCTGCTAAAATAGCCTTGAGCTCACTGTGGTATGTTATTTCTTAGTTTCACACACGTGAAAAGCAATCTACAACAAATATTCACACAGTCTGGAGGGGGGACGGAGGGGGGCTGTCAAAACAGTGCAGGTGCAAAACAGACGATCTCCTGCAGATAGCTGCATTCTTCTGGCGTGATGTGAGCCCCGATCAATAAACACAAACACAAAGGCGGCCTTGGAATACTTCAGCCACACAGAGCCCCGGATCTGAGTGAAACAGCCTGCGAGGGAGCTTTAATATTCACGTTTATTACCCACCCAATATGTAATCCCGGTGCTGAGTAATCGCTGCCTGGGTGACCGAACCCTCTGACAGGCTCATTACACAAGTGACCAACTGCTGATGCTGAAGTCCTTCTCGCGTCTCCCTCACTGCACACAATAATCACTTTCCGATTTGAAAACCAGGCTCTCCCCACGTGGAACAGCTTGCCTGTAGCACGAGGTGCTACGAGCCTTGAGGGGACACTCGGCACCTGCTTATTATCTAGCGTGCCTGTGAGGGAGCGCCGCCAGGTTCTTTGTGACGGGCCGGAGACAAAGGCTGCGTTCAAGTGATGTCCGGCAGACGGCAGAGAAACTGGCACGGCACTGATAATATTCCTTAATGTGCAACTCACCTCGACCGGCAGCTGTAACGTTGGACCGAGAGCGCATCGCGAGGGTTTACGCCGCATTGGTTTCAAAGGAATGTCCATTCGCGACTGACGCTTACGTAAGGGTGAGTAAGGGAATCCGCTGTGTACGATGGCAAAGAAAAGTGTGCTGCAGAAGGGGGAGGATGGAGCTCTCAACATACCGGGTCTTGTTTGCCACCAGCTCTTTTTCGTGGTACCACTCCAACGTGGGGGGCGGAACGGCGGTGAACTGGCAGTGGAACTGGGCCTCCTCGTTCTTCAACACCACCTGGTCCTCGGGGGTGACCACCGCCCGCGGAAAACTCTTGTCTGTTCGGAGAGGGAAGACGAACACCTGCTTGATTACATCTGTAGGAACCGGACCGCCGAGCTCCACCATGCGTCGCACCGATCTATTCCAATCTTTATTAAAAGCTGCCAACAGCAAGCGGCCTTCCGGTGGCGGTCTCTGTGTGTGTGTGTGTGTGTGTGTGTGTGTGTCTTAACGCCCCAGAGGCCCCCGGGGAGTGAACATGCCCTGCAGCTCAACTGCACCATCACCTACGCCTGTATTTCATAGAGAATAGGAGACCTCGCCTCTCTTCTCTGCAATGGTCTGAATTCATGCTATTGCAAGACATTGGGATTAGGGGCACTCAAGTGGTACTATAATACTATAATGTATACAATCTATACCTAAAATGTGCAATTTAATTAATCATTTAATGGGTAAAAATGGATGTCAGATTCTATTTCTTATAGTGGATGTAGCTGGATTAAAACAGAACGTTCTTGTGTCTTATGACTTTCAACCCTCCCTGCAGCCCTATAACAACAGAGAAGATTGCTCTGACCTGCCAAACGCAGAGATTTAATACACAATAACAGAGCAGTAGTAAAAAATTTAAATTAAAAAAAAAGTACAGACTTCAGCATATTGTTACACCCCGAATACAAAGCTTAAGCTCACTAGAGACACGGGAACACGAAAATACCCCTAATCCAGGTTTACGTGTGCGAGTTCTTTGATATCTGAAGTGCTAATGGAGGCATGAGGCCAAACTGTCAGGATGAAGCCCCTGGTGGGTGTGAAGAAAGAGAAAGGCATTCACACCTGGTCTACACGGGGAAGCTGCCTGGAAGACCTCATCTTAAAAAGAAGTGGCTGTGCATTGAAAACCTCGCTTTCCTAAACTACAGCGCAACTCAACAATTATACATTCTTCCACCACACAGGTGCAACCACAGCGTGCTTCTCTCTGTGTGTGTGTGTGTATGTTGCAGGTGACTAATTCAAGTGGAACGGGGCATCGGGTTTCACACACTGATGTGCTGCTGTATGTAATCTATTTACTCAGTGTTGTACTGAGGGGATAAGAGGGCACGCACGCACACGCACACACACACACACACACACACACACACACACACACACACACACACACACACACAGGACCTGATGTTACAGTTTGTAGATGTTTATGGTGTGTGTGTGTGTGTAGTGGAGTAAAGTGCTAACGCATCCCTGTTGATCACATTAGGAACTTCTCTCTAACACTAATGGACTATGCAGACCCCCGCCACTCTTCCTCATCACACTTGCAGGTGTGACTGACAACGTGGAAGGATTTTTGTTGTTTTCGAGTATATTTATGATGTAAGGAGGCAATTTGATGTGTTTTCAAATAATCTATAAAGTTACCAAAAAAGATCAGCAGTTAGAAAAACCTGCCTACTGGAAATTGGGACGAGCATTTTCACATTTTGACATTTTAAAAGGGCAAAATGTAAAAGAGAAAAATAATGGCTAAATAATCAATGATAAAATTATAGCTTTACAAGCCCTTCCAAGAGAGAATTGCTATGTCGCACTACAACAGTAACACACACACACCTATAATGTCGAGAGTGAAGTTGCTGTTGCTGCAGACGTGCCCGGCGGCGTTCTTGGCACAGCAGTAGTACAGGCCGTTGTCATCCGGACTGGCACTGGTAAAGGTGAGCGTCCTCTCCTTGTTGTTGATCTGGTGGCTCTTCTCCATCAGCTTCACCCCGTCCTTGAACCACTGGCACGTCGGCCTGAGTGGGAGCATAGGAGAGCGGTGTTGGCGAGGACAAGAGATGATTGGGGAGGAGGGGATTGAAGAAGAAAGTCGAGTGGAGGGAGGAGACGCATGGAGACAAAACATGGGGGCGTGAGAGAGGCCAACATGGACAGGGGAGACGTTTTGGAGTACGGTCCTCCACGTGACCTCTGAGCTCGAGGTGAGGACGGAGGAGACTCACCGCGGGTGTCCGTCAATTTGACAGCGCAGCACGACCGGCGCGGAGCTCTCGATCTCGCCTTCTGAGGCGGGCTCCTTCAACGTCACACCGCCACTTTCCAGCCCTGCGCAGGCAGACACAAAGACACAAAAACATCTGTGAGCATCTGTAAGCCGAAAGGAGAGAAGGGAGCAGGAAGCATGAGAAGGACAGGAGGAGAAATTGAGTTAAGTGGTCGTCCTGTCATCCGTCCACGCGGGACACACTGCCATGCTAATGGGGGCTGAGGCGGGTCGGGCACATCGCTGTGACAGCCCAGTGACGCATCGCCGGGTCGGCTTCCGGCGCCGCCGCGTGCACTCGGACGAGCGAGCGTGGCCTTTGCGCCGCTTTTTATAGACATTTAATGGACAGTTCATTGGCCTGCTTTGTTAAATGGGGCCTTGCTGCTTTCAGAGCAGCCCATAAAAAAAAAGGTCAGTCAAAAAGGCAAATGAACAACAGGGCGAACAATAACGCAGGAGAACAGCGTCAATACTTCAAAATGTGTTCAAGCCTCATCAGATGGCTCCACAGTAGTAGTATTATTATTTATTATTATTATTATTATTAGTTGAGCATATGGCGCAAAAAAAGGGATGAGCGGCATCACTCTCGCTAGTAACGTGAAACCTGATCAACTCTCACGTTCATCAGTCATCTTGAATGACTGATGAACGTGAGAATAAAGGACAGAAACAGACTACGTGGAAAACGATCCACAAACGTCTCCTCGAATGCATCGAGCAGCGGTGAGAAATGAGAACAGCCTGGTTTTACCATTAAGGGTTTGACCCAGTGCACAGGGAAATATATATCAACGACACAGTGTGTCAGGAAATCCTCACAGCAGCAAATCATTCCTACATCGTCCTTCGAGGGCAGAACACAATCATTTGTCAGTCTCCAAGGGAGACCAGTAGATGGATATTTCATCCCCGTTTCAATAAAGAAGGACTGTGGTGGCTCCTGTCCTCTTTGGCGTATCCACAAATTCTGTACTGGCCATAAAAATGTCCTCTTCCATTTGATGGAGGCACTTTTTTGTTGATAAAACCTCCGCCCACTGCCAAGAAGGGGTGTGAATCTTTTAGTATTTCAGGGTTCAATTTGGATCAATGGTAACATTGGGGATCAATTGTGGGTTTAGTACAAAGGGTTGTTAACTCCAGTGAATCACGGCAGGAAGGCTGCGAGTCTCTGGATTTGGAGACAGGAACTGATTGAATACTGTGACCAACAAAAAGAAAAGTCTAACAGTTATTAATGCTGAACACATAAAAAGGTGCCAACAAAAAATATGTTGATATTTTGTGTGACTTTTCAACATATACAATGATGCTTAACCCAACGTTGACTGATTACTTTTATTAAATCGATTTTTGGAAGACCTGAACAGAGGAATCTGTTCCCCTCTCGCCTCCGCTGCACAGCTCAAGCAGAGCGAATGCTGGAGGCGTTAAGAGATATGCAAAGTTATTCATAGTCTCCCTTTGGGGAACGGCACCGTATATCTGTGATGCAGCGCTGATACCCGGCTGGAATTCCCCTTCCTCTGTCGAGTGTGTCGACTACACAAACACTCAGTGTTCACACGGAACGAGAGCCGGGGCTAATAGTTGTTTACGTGATGGTGAATAAGCTGTGGCTGTGCGACATGCAGTAACTGTACACCCGGCGTGGTTGCTGACGGAGCGTTTCTCCGGGCAGCCCTGGTTTAAGCCCGAGAAAGTCGTTCCGTCACGCCGAGCTCCAGATCTACAGCATGCGACCGCCCGCATGAAATATGCATGGCATGCGCCTCTACCTACGCGAGGTCAGAGGACGATCCGTCACAGCGAATTATAAAAGATACCCGGTGTCAGTCTGCATCCTGGGGGATTGTGGGTAATCCTCTCTACAGTAACAGGAAGGGGGGTAATTAGCGGCCTCCCAACACAAATGGCCGACGACAGTGAGAGTGAGCTCATTTCATTGAGTGTTTAGATGTGTGTTGCAGACGAGTGCTTGTAACAATACGGTGCCGGGCCCCAAATCTCCATCGCATGCATACAAATTTAGTTTTGAGAGCTCTGAAGAGGATCCAGAGTGGTTGAATGTTTTCAGCTCCGGTGGCACAGCGAAGAGGAGGAGGTGCTAAGGGCCATCCCAGCCATGGGGACCTGGGGCCAAACACTTAGACAGACGTATTATTAGAGCACTGGGAGCATAACGGGGCCCATGAAACCAGACGGGGGAACAGTGAGTCACCAAAGAGGAGGGGAAAAGTTTGATAGAACCACATGGATGTGCAGAACTAAAATCCAAACCGCTCTTTGGTTGGTTGAGTCTTCCTCGGGTGGAAAACCCCTCCGACACGCTTTTTTGACATTAGTAAGAAACATTTTACATTCCAGCGGCGTGAGTGTGAAATCCGCGCAGAGAGCGCGTGGTAGGTAGTGTGAGCACCGCGTGAGCACTGAGAAACGATGAAAACGTAATCATGGCGCAGCAGGACGCACTGCTTGGCCGGCCTGACCCGTCGATCACTGGCGCGCTGAACACGCGGCGCCCTGACCGTCTAAAGTGTCTCCAACTCTTGGCCTACTCTTTTCCCTCGCAGGCCAAATCCAATCACTGCGATTATTTAATTTCCACTTTGACCCGGATTTTTGAAAAACCCGTCAAACATTCTAACCCTCTTTACTCCGCTCGCGGTTCAGGTTTCTGCAGCTGTTCCCTGGGAGAACAGCAGGCGCTCTTTCATAACCTGTTAGTGGCAAATACTTCTCCGTAATCCCTCCCAGAATGCACGGCTGAGTGTTGGAGTAGGCCCGGCAGCCAACGCCATAAATAGGGGCGTATAATTGTTACGTTGGAGCCAGAGCAGGAAGCCCCATGGACACGGGGCTGATAACAGATGAGCTGTGAGGAGACCGTCGGGGCAGACGCCTCCACCAGTCGTTCCTCTCTGTGCCAAACGGAAACGCCGCGTTTGTCTCTTTCACCCAACGAGCTGCTCGGGCGTGTCGGGGGATGGAGGTTTAACGGACAGCGGCATGTGGGTATGGAAATAACTAAAACATGTGGCGGAGCGGCTCAACGGCTGCGTGCGGGAAGGAGTCGGCGGCGCTGCTCCAGACGAGGTGTCGGATTCTATCAGCTGTGGCTGACGGGGGGTCAGGAGGTCGGGCTCCAAAATATTGGCAACTGAAGAGTCTGCCGCTGCTGTGACCGAGCAAAAAGAGGGGGGAGAAGAGGGAGGGAAGGGAGGAGGGGGCTCCAAGATTAGAGCACAGCAACAGCGGAGGGGAGAGGCTGACCGATGGATCGTTACGCAGGGGAGCGGCCTTTTATCAGCACACGAGAGACGAGAGTGCAAAAAAGGAATCATGACAGGATGTGAACCCGCACTAGCGATCAATAAGGAGGCCCCCCCGGAAACAAAGGTGGTTAAAAGACACCACTTTGTGTGATAAAACCGAGATGGCGCGTGAGGGTGGGTGTGATTTGAGGGCACAGGGAGGGAGAGGGGGGGGGGGGAGGACATGTGCCTGCTAGCCTGGGGTTTTTTCTCGGTACGGTTTCCCTCTGCCTACAACAAAAAGACTGTCAGTCCGCATCTTGTTTGAGTCAAGTGAAGCGTTGCCTCCAGGACCAACAAACACTCAGACAACAGAGGCGAGCGAGTCCGACGCCCCGGCTGGACGCGGTCACGCCACGGAGAGCCAGCGGTACAAGAGGAGGAAGCGGGGGGGCTAAAACCTCTATTAGTGACAATGGAGGGGGGGGGGGGGATAATTACTCAGAATAACTCTCAACTGGCAGGATCGGCCCACGCGGCGTTGAGACCAAGATAATTTCACTCCCAGGAGGCCAGGAAGGGGGGAAGGGAAAACAATCTACTCCACTAGTCTGTGTACAGTACACATGGAACACCCCCCGCCCCCTTCTCTCTATTATCACTTAGGGCGGCAAACTAGGATACACATGAGTGAGCGCACATGCAGGGTTAACGCCAGAGGGGGTCTTTACGCTTTAAGCCGCACACGGCTTTATCGTCTGCTAAATGTATGTTGGGGGAAATATGAGAACATGTGTCATAACAAGGCCTGATCCAGCTAAAGTCATCCATCCACAGATGACCAGCCAACCTGCGCCGCCTGACAGGGAGACTAATAGTGTAGATGCACGTATCGTGCAAGTGATTACGGGTGATTTAGTGCTGCATGGTACCCTCGCCTTGTGTGTTTGATTCAGCAAAGCATGCGCCGCGCTGTGAATGATCTTGTTCTTCCTTTTGTACAGCGGCCGTGTGGAGGGTTTCTTATCTTAAGTCAGGCGGGACAAGTCCACCTCTGAGGATGTACGCTTATCAAACTGATACAAAGATATCGATCTCGCAATATCTTGCAGAACGTACGGCACTTGCTGCTTGAATCTGCCTAATGTACTGCAGGTCGTTTCTCCTTAGTGGACTAAAAGCCTCTGCAAGCACAGCAAATTTTAAATTCCCTCTTAAAAAAAACAGACACACAGATGGAGAATCTATTATCTGATAATATGGAAATACCGTGTGCAAGCACATTTGGTTCTACACCAATCAAACTCATTACGTTTCTGTTTAGCTAAACGTGCACCTGCAGAGTTGTCGTCAACTTGTTGACAGACAGCTGCTTATTCACAAATAGAGATTATTAACATTAGCATCAACTCTTAGTGCTTAGGACTCACCCACAAGCTAGAGGCTAACGCTGCGTCACGGATGTTTGTTACGGGTCGATTAAAGACAGATGACCTCTGATAGATCAACCGAACCAAAATAAAATAAAATAAAGCCCTGTGCCGCTGTGGGGAACTTCAGAGTAGATTATAATTATTGATATATGTACAATTATGGATACATGCAATGCTGAACCGACGTTCAACCTCTTAGAACTCTTCTAAATGTCGAAAATAATTCAGATGTTACATCTGTGTAGATCTTCAAGTTGGCCCAGGTCGTCCCACAAGGATCGACAGCAAGTTGCACCCTGTTAAATATCTACACACCCATTTTTCTCTGAATCTCACACCTGAACTCATCATAAAATCTATTACACGTGTATGCACTAACACAAATGCTCATGAATATTTCCATGATTTAATCTGTTGAATAAATTGAATTTCCGAAAAATGAGCACGCCGCCTCCCTAATAAAAACGCGCCGTCTTTTCCGATGCGTCGGAATATTAATGACCTGGCAACGGCCACAAAGGCAGCTCTTAAGAACTGGTGCTTCATGTCTGACTTGTTTTCTTCCCTTTATAATCTGTGGGAGTGTGGCGGTTGAGCTTTACTGACACACTACATCATGTGTAAGTGAAACACATAAAAGCAGCAGCCTTCAGATCAGACCAGCTTTTCGTAAAGCGGCGCGCTTCCTTTGGTTTATCTGGCTCGTAGCTTCAATCGTTCGGTCTGCTTACAAATGGAGAGACGTCAGGGAGCAGGGGGAGGGGGGGGGGGTGTGGAACCTCTGGCCGTCCCTCTCTGTGTGCGACTAGGAGGTCTGGACTCTCATCTGCTCTTGTAATCAGCCTCCGAACCGGTAACATCACCGCAAAGAGAAACCTTCAGCAGAATGTAGCAAGAGAGGACAACGTCTTCCAGATGGGGCCGTTTCTCCCCCCCCCGCTTTACTTTTTGTTTTCTACTGCCAGCAGAGCAAAACCGCGCTCTGCGTTTGGAGGAGAAAAAGGTTTTTTTCTTTTTGTTAACTGGTACCTGAGGGCAGACCACAAGTACATGTACATGGTTGTTTTTTACCCCTGCAAAACTGCTTCTTCTGAAGTGTAAGAGGGGTTCGGTTAAAGGGCTGAACAACAAAATGAATGTACGAGTGCGCGTGACCTGGACGCGGCCGAAATGCTCCGATGATGACGGGGGAGTGAGAAGCTTGGCGGCGATGAAGAAGCTGGAGCGAGGAGGCCCGTGTTAATGTGAGCCTAAACAATGATGCAGCCAGAGAGTTGTAAATCACACTGCTCTGTCATTTCCAGACAAAGGCCTTTGGACAGTTTATGGGAGGAGAGAGTTTTACCCCACGGAGAAGAAAGAGGCAACAAGAAACACATGCTTGGTGGCGTACGTATCCCGTTTCCCTTTGGAGAGGGGGAGAGGAAGCCACAAAGAACAAGGTGGAAACATTCCTTCAGCTCAGACTACCTGTCATCTTATACCGGGACTTTTGTTTGGCTTTTTTTGATGCAGAAACTGGATGCACGCCCGTGTTGCCATTATGAAACCTGGTCAGCTGGAAATTTTCACTCCAGAAGTCCTTTTTTTCCCCCCCACAAAGCAGCAAAAATCACTCACACTTGATATTGAAGGAGGCATTGGTGGACTCGAGGGACTCTCCTGTGATGGAGTTTTCGGCGATGCACACAAAGCTCCCCGCGTCCTGCTGGCGATCCACGGCGGTGAACTTGAGGTTGCTGCCCTCCAGGAAGCGGCGAGGGCTCTCTAGCAGAGGCTGGCCGTTGTGACGCCAGCTGTAGCCGACGCCGACCGGATCGCTGGCCTCGCAGCGCAGCATGGCGCTGCGGCCGTGCAAGGCATCCTGGGACTTGGGCTCCTTCATGAACTGGAAGGCGGCGGCCTGGACGGACAGGACTGGAGAAGGGAGAGAGTAGGGGGGGGGGGATAGAGGGAAAGTAAATGACTGAAGGATAAGAATGGGCGCGCTGTTAACGGCTTACTGCTTTTTCCGTTCATTAAGTGCACGCCATAGCAACCACTTAGCCTGGCGGAGGAATGTGATGTTTGGACAATGCCGGCTAACTGAATTATTTTGTTGTAAAATGATCAGGCGAGACACGGAGAAAACACTTTTTCCCCCCGTTGGTGTGTCGACGCGAGTGGGTGATCTAATCGTCACTAACACAGAGAGGAGCCTCAGGGTCATGTGTCATCAGCTCAGCCTCTCAAACAAGACATGATGTGTGCCACACACACACACTTAAATCTTTTATTCCTCCTCGTGATGCTGAGTACAAACTCTGTGTGTGTGTGTGTGTGTGTGTGTGTGTGTGTGTGCGCGCGCTTCTGCTCTATTCATCCACATCTCTGTGGAGCTAAATGACAAGAGTGTGACTTGGATGAAGAACAGTCACAATAATCTGGATATGCTGCAGTTGTTAGAGGTTATAAAAGGCAAAGAAGAAATAGTACCCTGAGTACATTGTTATTTTTTTTTTAGACACTTAACAGAGAAGATTGTGATCCAGCGAATTCATCTTCCCGTATTGATTTTATGAAGACTCGAGAAGAAACACTAAAGTTTCCTTTGCGAAGGTGCCTGCTTTTACACTTGCTCATTACAGCTCATACCGGAGAACAGGGACCACGACAAAAAAAAGTGTTAAAGGCCAAGCTGCACTCACAAAGTCAGATTGGCATCTTTCAATTTCAACGCGGCAGCTGCTCCACTCGGGGCCCCCGCGTTTGAGGCGATTCCACAGGGAGCGACTCGTCAGTAACCATCTCAACAGTGTGTCAAAGCCGGGCCCTCACGTGCCTCTGTGCAACACAATGTTATCGTACCAGATGTCAGTGGTTATCTTAGGGGACGGTCGACCGTCAGAGTCGATAGAGCATACCTACACCTGCGTAACGCTGTGTGTGTGTGTGTGTGTGTGTGTGTGTGTGTGTGTGTGTGCGTGTGTGTGTGCGTGCAGTAACGCAGCCAAGCAAAAACGGGATCTTTCAATAAAGTTAAATCAAGGAGCCTGTTGAAGAAGCGCCAAGGCAACCCGCTCCGTCTTTGACCCGCCTCCTGCCGGTCCAGCTCCTAATCAGACCCACCTTTGTCTCAGCGGCAGGTGGCTCCGGCTGAAAGGCCGGCAGGAAAAGAGGCAGAACGGCGGAAAGACATGAGAGCAGAGCTAGAGAGGCCGTGGACGGGCAGGGGGACAGATAGTTTACATTTTACAGGCGGGAGGGAGCGTTGTAATGATGCGCGTCGTGTTTATGGATCGAGATGTCCTCGAGAGCGCGTTCCTTCTCGCTTCTTTCATCTCGTTAAAACGGCGAGCAACGGTGAGGCGATGACACCATATTCCAGTGTTATTGTTTCTAGTCTATCATATTTACACATTTTATTTCTCCAAGGTTTGCCGGACAGTGGAATCGATGGCTGCCCGGGGGAATTGGATGAGACAGTATTAGAGCTCACAGGCCAGCGGCTTCCCCTTCAGCCGGTAATGCAGCGTTGGAGAGAAACAGCTGCTGCCTTTTAGCTCATCGCATCAGTCAAAATGACTCGCTATGGATGAAACTTCACCTCTTCACCTCAATGTCAGCCACACTGACTGCAGAACCATCGATCTCACCTCATTTCCAGAGACAGTTTAGAAATAAGTCAAAGCTTTTCTTGTTTTGATCTTTTCACGCTTTGAAGACGTGAAAATCTACGTTGTTGGTCCAATGCAAAAAAAAGGAACCGAAAAGGTTAAAAGGTTATTTATTGAGTAAAAAATAGTAAACATTAGCTTGTTCAAGCGTTGCTGCTTTTCTGTTTTACGTGACTAGATAAATATATATTTAATAAGCTTAATAAACTTAAATGAATCAAATTGCTCTGAGAACTTTTAATCGTTCTTCCATCAACTGAGCTCTACTATGAACGCTGCCGGTGTCGCACAACACATTTGTTATACGTCTCTTGTGCACGTGAAGAGAGCTCAAATAATTGTTCCACGTGAATAAAAGGCAGCAGGTGGGTAGGAAACACGGAACAGCCATCCCCAACGTCTACCTCAAAAAACAACGCATCAACGGCCGTCCACAGGCGGCACATGCCGCCTCCATGCCGGTCTTACAGCCGCCATCACACCCGGCGGCAGCCATGTTACAGGCTTTGGTGGAGACACGGCGTCGCTGAGGCTTTTTATTTGAGACGAGCACTGACACCTGTGCGAGTGCGAGTGTGTATAGTGAGACAATGACTTCCTGGATGAGTGGCAGCGGAGGCGTTTCTAGGCACCGCATGACGACAGGCGAGAAAGCGGGCGGAGTGAGGCACATTCCGTGGCACCTGACGCTGCCGGCTTTGCCGCGCTGTGGGGAGGCCCCCGTGACCTACACCGCTCAAAACGCACCGCAGCCGCGCCTCCGCATTTATCATCACGGTTCACCAAGGTCGTGCTCTTCTTCGACACACACAAGTGGCGGCGGGGAGGGGGACGCCGTGAGCAGACCGGGTGGCATTTCAAATAGATAAGCGGGGCGGATGCTATCCGGACTCAAGCCGAGGGCCCTTCAAAGTGAGAGTGGTTGAAAGGGAGGCTTACAGATAAGAGGGGGGGCACGCAGGATGGGGATGTTATGACAAAAACACTTTCGAGACCGAGGTCTTGAAAGAGGTGAACGTTAAATTGCCAAGCTGAACTAGCGATAGCACAGAGGAGCAGAGTAAATCGCCAACGGTTTACTGTAGAGTTTTTTACTACTTTTTCGTAAAGCAATGAAGTGAAATGTATTATTGTCATCATCCCTTGCAGCGCCATGGAGTTTGTTTGCACACACTGGTTTCACATTGTGTCGACAGAAGGTCAGTGGCTGTAACACGCAGAGAAGAAAAGCAACACGCCGTGTTGAGAAGATGGAGGGCTACAACCAAATGAATTAATCAGCTTTGAGAATGTTTTAAATCCCACTGAATTCAAACATAATTTTTTATCATAGCTTTAAGTAAATCATATGTAGATTATTTGTTCATTGGAGATATTTTAACATCCCAGCAACTGCATATCCACACATTTGACATGCTGACACAAGTACATTTTCTAGTTTAGTAGAAAATGTACTTCATCAAACACCTGTGTGGTGATTGACTATTGGTCTCTTTAAAAAACAAGCAAGCTTCAGTCCAGTAAAAGAATACGGTGTCATAGTCAAAGCTGTTGAAAACGGTGCAGGGTGCAAACACTTAATCCAGGGAGTCTCAATCTCTCACAGAATAAGAAAAGGTCTTGGCTCTGATACTAAGTGCCGGTAAAAGACAGATATACTCCAGAGCACCCTGATGAGCAACTATCGCCATGAAATATTAATCACTTGTTGTTTTCAAAAATAGATTTCCATGAAGGTATCTGAATAGACGCTGGAAATGACAGGAAGTAGGTTAAAGAAACTGCTGAGCGAGGCGAAGTATCTTCTCGGCGGGATTCTCCCCTGCAACGCGCCGCCGAACCCATTAAGCCGGCTCGGCCGTCAGGCCTGTTGGTTGGAAGTTGATTGATAGAAGCAACCATAAAAGGACTCATCAGCAGGCAACGCCTCCCTTCTTTCTTTCCTTCTTTCTCAACTTTGTCCCGCTGGCGAACGCAGGCAGGAGTCGCCCGGGTGGAATCATATTTCAAAAAGAAAGTACGTTGCATCATCACATCGGCATGGCGCTGGAAGGCAAGCAGCGGGACCCGGCTCATAGGAGAAGGTTGTTGGGAGCGTGGGCGCATCGTTTATCAAAATCAACACCCCGATAAGGAACTGTTCTACATTAATCCCGACTACACACGGGCTTGTTCTGTGCAGCTGGTCGGATTCAGATTAACAGCTGCATCAAAGAGGAGGTTATCTTATCCGTGAGCATCCTGTGATCGGGACGGCGCGGCTCCGGCAGGCCGGCCGGGGCGCCGACAAACCACGACGGTACACGTGCCAGAGGCTGCACAAGAGGTCAAAAGGTGAGGCGGTGTTTGAGTCTGTCGCACATGCACAGACGCAAACAGCAGCACCCGCGGATACTTTGCACAGGGCGGACCCCCGTCCACCCCCCCACCCAACCGCCCCCCTCCCTCTTCTGTGGGAGCTCAGAAAAAAGCTCCTGTGCGTGCGGTCTGACAGACTCTCAGCGGACCGCGTCGGAGCGAGACAGCTGCTCGGAGACGTCTCGGGGAGACGGGACAGCAGAGCGGGGAGTTGAGGAGCGTGAGACGGCCACTGGAGCGTGGACGCTTATCTCAGCGACGCCGCAGCCGGTGCAAATCGCAGAATTTAAACAGCTTTTAAAATGTGCCATGGTTAAAGTAGACACTTGTACCATCTCGTTCTAGTTTAGTCAGCTGCAAAATCTACACGACCCAATTAAGGGGAGAAGAGCAGCGAGACTCCAGATAACATCAGCCTCCCTCGCGCACAAACTGCACACACTCGTAGTTCAAAAGAAAAGCGACACAGCCCAGACATGATTAGAGAGTCTCCGATCGGATCAATTATTAACAACGCTGGGATCTGAGAGAGCGCTTCGGTGTATTTGGAAGCAGAATGAAACGTGTTATTCAGTGGGGTCATACAGGGGCCAACAGAATGAGCACAGACTGGAAAACATGGCCCCCGTTAGTCAACATGCAGAGAGAACTCTGAGAAAGCATCTATTTTAGGAGCTGCTGGGCTGTCAGACATTTTAGGAAACATAAGTCTGCCGCCATTAACTTTTTTGAGGGAAAAGGAGTAATTTAATGAGGCCATCTTTAAAAGAGCTCTATGAAACTAGTCAGGAATGCCAGCAGTTGGCAAAAAAAAAAAAAAAGGAAACCCATGCAGATCGTATTTTTATTTACAGCTGCTGGAAAACTGGAATGTCGAGCTAATAAGATTATCATCCCGCTCTG